CCGGACTACGCCGAACTTCGCGGAAGGAGACCTAGTGATGCTGTCGTTAGAGAATATTAAGACGAAGAGACCAATGAAGAAGTTAGATGTTAAGCAAAGTGGGCCGTACAAGGTAGTACGGCAGGTAGGTTCTCATGCTTGTAAATTGGAATTACCAGGAACGATGGCAGGTATCCATGATGTATTCCATGTCTCCTTGCTCCGTCCTTATCACCCTCCAATATTTCCTGGTCAGCAAGCTGAGCCACCTGGGCCAGTAGAAGTAGACAATGTGGGAGAGTCTTGGGAGGTAAAGGATATTGTGGACTCTAGAGTAAATAAGAGGTCAGGAAAGTTAGAGTACTTGGTGGATGGTTAGGTTACGAAGGAACAGACGATTCAGTATCATGGGAACCAGTGGAGAACGTCGATGGAGCTGATGACATATTGGCGAAGTTCCACGAACTTCACCCTACTAAGCCGAAGGAAGGGCGCCTGCGAAGGGCTAGGAGATAGAACGTACTGCATACAACATAGGATTACAGCTACGTACCGCTCACTTGTCCTTACTCTTACCCTTACCTTTTCCTTTTCCTTTCTCCTTCGATCTACTCGGACCCGCGGGATTGGTATGGAGGCTACCGATGACCGAAGGTAGATCGAGAGTCTCAGACGGGAACGCAGTAGAGAGAGAAGCATTCCATGCCCGATTCATAGCCCCAAAGAAGTCACCGAAGTCCTGGACATCTCGAGCAGCTTGCATGCTCGGAGTCCTCCACAGAGAACGTATGGTCCGTAGACACTCGAAGGGAAGACTGAGGAGGTCGAGAGCAGTCTGGGCGGAAGCTGGGACACGAGAACTACTACGGCGACCTAACCAGTCAAGGGACGGTGGTGGCTCATACGCCATAGGAGTGACTAGGAAGGGGGTGTCGAACAGTCTTCGGCGAACATCGGCTATCTCAGTAAGGCTTCGGCGAGAGACGTCCGCTAACCTTGTCCTTGCTTCGTCGTCCAGAGCCTCAGTGTTGACTACATCTACTAACGCCGCAGTGAGATTGTTTAAAGCGTTAGCTTGACGAGAAGAGAAGTCAAGCAGGAGAGATGTATCATTTCGGGCGGCCTCGAGCTGAGTAGTGAGACCGAGGACGAGAGAACGATAAGTGGCGAATTCCTTTTCGTCCTCAGGAATACGGACGTCCAGGGAGATACGAGGGTGGACGAGGGACAACCGGGGAGCAGAGGGACCAGCACGCTGAGTATCTTCACCTTCCACATCACCATCATTGAAGGCAACCTCCTTCTCTTTAGATTTCCCTTTTGATTTCTTTAAAGAAGACTTCGGTGTCTTCTGGGAAGCAGAGGGAGGGGTGACGGGAGGGGCCGCCGAAGTGGCCGGAGGAACAGAAGGACGCCGACTTCGGGTGCTGTGAGCCGGAGGAGAAGCTACCACTGGAGAGGACGGACGTGGCGCCGAAGGACGAGAGGCCGAAGGACGGGAGGCCGAAGGAGCAGAGGCCGAAGGACGGCGAGAAGACGAAGGAGGAACAGCCGGGAGACGTGATGGGCCGGCCACAGGAGCGAAGGGCGACGGCGACGGAGGCGACGGGCGGAGGTCCGGCGAAGTACGGCGAACCGACCGGAGAGACGAAGACGGTACCCGCGAACGGGGGACAGACGCTGGAGTCTGGGGAGGGGGGAGAGGAGAAGCGTCGAAGGGACGGGGCGGGATGTCCCGGGCAGAGGACACGGGACAGAAGGACCAGGGGCCAGACGTGCATGAAGCACAACGGAGGGCCTTGTTGTGTGGCCTGACTGCCTTGAGGCAGGGCCAGTTTGGACGATTATACGTGATAATCTCACGTCTACTAATTAGCAGGAGTAACTTCGGCGTAGTACGAATAGGTGGACTCACCGGCAACGATCACACGCTTCGTCAACACCAACCGCGATCCAACGACCAGGCTCGGACTTCATCTTCTCCCACAAGTACTCTTCTTCCCGCAGTGATCTCTTCACCCGTTTGGGCGAAGGCTCCCCTCTGGGAGAAGGGGGGGGAGCAGCGACGGGGGCGGCGGCAGCAGGACCGGCGGCAGCAGCAGGAGCGATGGCGGCGGCAGGGCGGGCGGCGGCAGCAGCGGCGGCAGCGGCGATGGCGTTGGGGGGGGGGAGAACCCCGGAAGAGGAAGAAGAAGAGGAAGAAGAAGAAGAGGAAGAAGAAGAAGAGGAGAGGGAACGGCGTCGTTTCTGGCCCACAATTTGAGCAGGGGGAGGGGCAGGAGCGGCTGCGAGTTAGCAATGTCTTGAAGAGCTAAAGAACAGATAAACAAGGCCAAGTTCGGCGAAGGTGTGAGAGGTTGGACGAAGAACTCACGCTCAGGACTATCTACGTTGTTGTCCTCTACACTAACCGCCACCATATCATCATCCGAGTGTTCCTCTAACTCGGTTTCACCCTCCGACACGATTCTATCATCCTCATCGCTATAATCACCCCCTTTTCCTTCGAAGTCTGACTGATCGTCCGACTCCGAACCACTGAGCGACTCCTGGTCGGAGGAGGACGGAGACTCACCAGGACGAAAGGCGGGCGTCCTGCGGCGAGGGCTGGCGGCAGGAGGGGAAGCAGAGCGAGAACCAGGAGGAGGAGAAGCAGAGGGAGAACCAGCGGGAGGACCGGCGGGAGGAGAAGCGGAGCGAGGAGGCGGGACATCGCCAGACGGCTCCCCCAAAGAGAGGGTGCCGAGGCCGAGGGAGGAGACTTGGCGAGATCTGTCGCCGAAGGAAACTGAACATCAGCCAAGTCCGGCGAAGTAAGGTAAGTGTCGAGGAATAACTCACGAGCAGACGACACCATACCACCAAAGTTCCTCATGGCGGCGAAAGGGTTAGAGGTGGGAGTAGGAGGGGCCATGACGTTAAAAATACTTAAAGAAATAAAAGATGATTCAAGGTAACAAATCTGTTTTCTAGGTAAGAGAGATAGAAAGTTTTGAAAGCAGATGGGAAAAAGAGAGAAGCTCGACGAACTGCTCAGTATTTAGTATAATCAAACCTAAACCCTCGTCGTCAACATGCAGCAAACTTCGCGTTTCATCAACAAAAGGCATCGCAGGGACGATCAAAATTCCCACGCTATAGTGTCTCATCTCAATATAAGCGAGGGTTACTTCGACAAACAACGGTGTTGTTCGGCTGCCATTCAGGAAGCGTGTCTCACCTACAAAAGACACAGGGCTTCTTACGGCAAACCTCGACGAAGTTAGGGGAGTCTCATTGTCGGGTTTTGGAGTGAAAGGAGGCCCAACTACGAAGTGCAGCGCAAAGAGCAGAAGGGTGAAGGATGGTCATGGGGAGGGAGAGAATGGGGGTACTACGCTGCTAAGTTCTCTTGACACGACAGAGGTGTAATCGCTCACGAGGACGTTCGCGGCTAAAGAAGGGGGCGACTGTCACGAACTACGTCGCGACACCTCGATTACTCCACCAACAATGACCCTCCTTTGGCCATCAAAACCCCATCACGCCTTAACCTCTTTACTCTACACGTAACTCAGGACTTCTGACACCAAGTACGGCGAGGTTAGACGGAGTTAGGCTAAGTAGGAACAATGGGAGCAGAAGTACGGCGAAGTTAGACGGAGTTAGGCTAAGTAGGGACAATGGGAGCAGAAGTGCGGCGATGTTAGGCGGAGTTAGTCTAAGTAGGGACAATGGGAGCAGAAGTACGGCGAAGTTAGACGGAGTTAGGCTAAGTAGGGACAATGGGAGCAGAAGTGCGGCGATGTTAGGCGGAGTTAGTCGAAGGAGGAAGAGGATGGCCGAGGGCTCGGGGAAGTTGGACAAAGTGCGTTGAAGTACGTCAAAGCGCGAGAGGGTTGGATGAACGTCTAGGAGGAGTAGATAATATTAGCTGAGAAGATCGCTGAAGTTCTTCAGCGATCCTTGATTGTTGTCAGTAGTAAAAGACAAATAGAGATAGCTATACATCGAGATACATCGCCATCAATAGAACAAAACCCTAGTTAGAGTAACTACGCCGAAGTACGCCGTAGTTACACCCCTTTCGACGTCTGCGCCCTCCTGGTTGGGTGAGACATCGACTCAGAGCGTGAAGTTAGCCGAGGTTCGTCGACCGTCGGTCTATTAAGAAATAGTTGTTCGACGGCCGTGACAGTGTCATGACCACGTGCGTCAAAGTTGCTAGTTTGGGTAATATCCAATCACCTCCATTACCCGCCACCGATAAACACTACCAGCCACCCTTATCTACATTACATTCTCATTCCATGTACATAAGGTAGTGCATAGCTTAGAACAACTTCGACGAATGTATCTTGTCTGTCTCAACATACAAGTTCTCATATACATTTGCCAAACTTATTTTTCACTCCTCGAACTATTTGCTTCGATCCTCGTATCCTCTCACAACTAGTTCAAGTCCCTACAAGTAGCCTATCACCCTCGACGCAGATCCTTCGACCTTCGGTCTGGTCTTGACAGTGTGGTGCTGAGGTTTATCTTATACATATTCAATGATTTTGATGAACAATTGAGTGGCATAAAATGTCGTTGCATGTCTCCGAGATATAAAAGTACCAAACGTAAGTCCCATGAGGGTTCAAAATGTCCTTCTGTTTTTTCTCTTCTCCCATCCTTCCTTCCTTTCCACCCGCTCATCCCGATTTACCATTCTATACCAGTCCGAGATACAATCCGCAGACGAATTATCAAGATCGTTTTTACATTATGATCTCCCAGACGGACCAACGAAACCATTTTCCAGTAACCGTCTTCGAGAGGAGACATTGTTATCATTTTTCGATATCGAATCTCGTAGATGAGACTTCATTATCATTTCGGAGATCCAATCTTCGAGACTTTCACCAACACTTCATTTCCTCGCTGAGTCCACCAATCATTCGTTTCACTATTCCACCAACGGGCGAACTCGACCTTACATGGACTCACAGAACAATCTTGTCAACGGCCTGCACGTTCTATTCCACAAAACGATCCAATCATTCTGCCTCTACCGCCTCCATCTGGGTCAATTCACCATCATCTCTTTCCATACCCAATGACCCCTCGTTCTCCTCATCCAACGATGACTCCTTCTCCTCACTCAAGACTGACGCTTCAGTCCGTAAAGGCGTACTCTTTAATCCTTGTCTCATCTTGACTAAACCGGGAGTCATCATCCCCAATCCTGGAGTTCTCATCGGTGTGACTTTCCAATCTTTTTCCGGACTTCCAGGACTTGATCTCAACCATTTAGCCACCGGGTCACTAGAAGGAGGATGGATATTCTCCTTTTGTACTTGTCTCAAAGGTGTCATAATCTTTTCCACACCGCTCATCCCATTGTATACCGATCCGAAGGAATGGTGATTCGTCTTCATGGAAGAATTCAAATCTTCACCGAAAGATGGGAATCCTTTTCGGGTCGAATGGCTTGATCCGGCATCAAAAGCGAAAGCACTAGCTCCTAATGAGAACGACTTTGCGGGAGTTTCGACATTTGGTTTCAAAGGTTGAAGAACTCTACCTAAGAGAGAACCATCTTTCGATCCAGAGAAAGAATGTTTGGATGGATTTGTCGGAAGGATAGAAGAGCCAGATTGACTTGTTGAGATGGTTTTACGTCTTTTTGCTAAATGTGTAGAAGGTGATTCTCCCGGAGAAACATTACTTCGTCGTCGATCGATGAATGGATCGTCGGCACTTATCATTCCGGTTGTTACACTTTCTGCTCGAGTACGTTGATAAGGATGTAAGAGACTTTTACTTCTGATAGGTTTTACACGAGATGGTTTGTCGGTAATCTCCGCAGCTGCCATCAAACCCCAACCTGAGGTACTTCTGGTGTGACCTTGCGAATCATTCTCCAAAGTAGAGGGTGTGGTGCGGAGATTATGAGAACTCGAGATAGGATGGAGAGTTCGAGAAATTTCGTCAGATGTAGGTGCTGTATGTAACGTCCGAGCCAGAGATCTGGAGATGGATAACGAAGAGAAACGATGACCTGTGTCGCCGGAATTAGATTCAGAACGAAGCGGTGTAGAATGTAAATCCAACAATGTTTCAGCTACAGCTTCCAAAGGATCCGTAGACCTATAAGACTTCTGTCGAGAGGGTGTCTTTCGATGGTCAGATTTTTGACCTTCATCATCATGGTCGAAATGATCTTTACGATCTTTATGAGATGAAGGGTAGAAAGGAAGAGATTGAAGTGGTGTAAGAGAGATAAGAGGAGAATGAGTAGAATGAGAAGCTAGAGTTTGTGAAGTCGAAGAGTTCAACTTTGTAGCTGGTGTCCATCCACTCGATCGAACCCATTGTTGTTCCATCCTTGGAGGTTCGTCGATGGAAGTTGCCGGAGAAGTCGATGTACTAGTCTGAGCGGGATTTGTCTTGTCTTTCATTGGTGATCGTAGTGCCGGGTCGATATGAAGTTGACCTTGGGACACGTCATTGCGGGATTGAGAATGAGAGAAGTGAGGTTGAGATATGGAAGGGAGAGAAAGAGTTTCGTCGGGAACAGTAGACATGAGAGTCTCCCATTGTTCCGCCCCTAGACTAGCTTGCCATTCTTGTAGTTGTTCCAGATCGGCATCTGCCTCCCATCCTTCTTCCATCTGTATATCGCCCAGTTGAGCTTCCATACCTGACCTTGAGCCCTGTTGCGATGTTCCCACAAGGGCGGAGCCGTTCTGCGTTTCTTGTTGGAGCTGATCGTCGAAAGTTGAACTCTGACCGCTGGGTAGAGCTGCACCAGATAACACTCGAGCACCCTCCAGCAGTTCAGCAGGAATATCGACGGCAACACGACCAGTACCGTCGAGCCATTTACCCCGGACGTGTTGGGTTTCTTTGAGATGCGGAGCGATGAGACGGACTCCGTTGGGTAGACATAGACCGAGGGGACCGAACATGGATAGAAAGTCGGAATGTTGTTGTTCGAGTCTGATTTGAATGCTGATGATTAGCAATGATACGACTTTGTGGGCAAGTTAAGTGGCTGATGAGTGTGGTGGTATGTGGCATTTTCAAATTGAGAGTTCGGTTGAGAATGGATGTTCATCGACAATGAGCCTTGACGACGAGGGTGAATGGGGTTACGGGTGACTAACCGATGTTTCATCGCCCACCCTCGTTTACTTTTCAGAGCTCGTTCCCTTGCTTCTTCCGCATCTTTGGGTCTGTCCACGGCTGAGAATCAGCATCACGGCGACACCGTATATCGCAGGTCAGGACCGCTCACGACTTGGCAACAGATTCTCAAAGAGACACGGGTTCAATGAAGGGAGTGAATGCAGATCAAAACACGTAAGGAGCTCACCTTGATCCCATCGACTCCTTCTCCCTTGCATACTCAAAGGCAGGCCATGTTTGTCCTGCAAATGTCTCCTAGCCACACTCCTAGCGTTTCTACCGTCATACGTCTTGGCGCACAATCTGCAAGTATACATCTCATACTGACTCTTCCATTCTCCCATTCCCATCATCATCTCCCCATTCTCTCCTCCTTTACCCATATCATCCTCAAGAGTGTTATTCGTCTCCAAACGTTTGTTAGATCCAAAGTCGGAGACAGAAAGAGAAGTACTCAGACCCCTTGTCCTTTTTGGCGTCAAAGTGTATTGATTCAGTGGTTCTCGTTCCACATGTTTGTCCAATGTCGGAGGGTGAAGTATCAATAGCCCACATACTTCCAGTTGACTATTCGGTGGAGCGGGTAATAGAGCTCCTCTGTATCCTCGTAAGGAGAGAGGAGGTCTGGAAGGGGAGACAAGGAGAAGAGCAGTGTCATCTCCTTGAGAGATGAGATCCGGTTCGTTGTTCTCCGTAGTGGACGTGAGTTTTGTTTGTGATGAGGAAGATTTATTTTTGTCGTTGAGACGGGGACGAGATGGAAGATTGGCAGAGATGGATGCGAGGACAGGAGGTTTGATTGTCGTCTTGACAGACTTGGACGATTTGGTTTTCTTACCCCGTGCTCGAGCGGGCTTCGATTTCCCTTTTGTACCTTTCTTGGAGGGACGAGAAGGACGTGATAAGTAATCGGCATCACCGTCTGAGAGCTCGGTAGGCTCAGGAGAGTTTTGATCAAAATGGATAGAACCGACGTCGGGTAATTCAGTAGGCTGTGAAGTACCACTGGGCGCAAGAGGATTCGAAGAGAATTGGTTCAGTTCACCTGGGTGGAAATGAGAATGATGAGTTTGGTGAGGGTTTTGGAGAGCGTGAGGATGATGGGGGTGAGATGGATGGTGAGACTCGTAAAGATCATTCTGATGGGGTGTGAAACCGAGAGAATGTTGACCTTGTCCAGGATGGACGAAAGATTTGTGGGGATGTCCGAGAAACCCTCCGGGAGGACCTTGAAAACTTGGGTGACGCGAGTGAGAAGGAGTTTGACCAGGCTGATGACTGACTTGAGGAAAATGCTGAGGTTGAGGATGGTACATGTGAGGGAGAGTGAATGATGGTTGACTGTAGTAGGGTTGTTGATAATACGTCCAAGCCGATTCTTGGGGTTGCCCAGGGGGATGGGACATGTTTGTCGAGCTTTAATGTCAACATTTCTCAATCATCTTCACTCTGATTTTGCAAGTATCTCGTCATCTAGGACATTCATTTCATTTCTCAAAAGAGTCATTTAAATGAGGAGTGTGATGAAATCATCCGAGCTATCGGGAGTGCGAATAGATCAGGAAGAGTTTACTTACCTTCACACCAGTAAAAGCCCTCCAAACCGATTTCCAAGCTTCGATAGAGAAATGAGAACAGAGAGAGCAAACGCCACTTGATGAGAAGACGTCTTTCTCTTTCTTCGCTTCGTTCTCTTCCTACTAGCTGGCGCTATGACCCCTGACAGGTGTCTCACTGTTTTGCTTTCTTCTCCGTCGTCGTCTTCGGTACAGAGTAATAGGTATCGAGTGAAATAGCAAGCAGACAGTGAGGCGAGTATGAGCAATATCAGCAATAAAGCAGAAGATGTGAGATAATGAGGAGTGAAGCAGAGAGAAGTCAAAGTTGTGTATGGATGTGGTTGTTGTTGACGTTGTTAAGGGTTGAAAGGAGGGTCTGTGTAGTTTCGACTCCTGAGACGAGATCATCATCATCAAATATCATCAATACATCAGTTTCGTATCAAGACGCACGAGCCTCTTATTAGCGTAGATTAGAATATTCTCTTCTCTTCTCTTTCTCTACAACCTATGCATCAGTCATATCCGTGGAGAAGTCAGTCTTGTCAGTGATCAGTATAAAAGGTGTGATGTCAGTAGTGAGTAGTGAGTAAGAGAGTAAAGGTGAAGAAAGAAAAGAAAGAGAGATCTGCAGGTGAGATTTGCGTTGGGGAAGAAACGATCGAATATCTCATGGTACGTCCGACCTATGGGGAATTGGGGATGACTAGACTTGTTCCTCTTTTTCCCCACTTGATATCACATGGTGACCGAGTGGCCAATGGCGAGACTCGGGCAGATGGAAATATCGGGGGTAGTGTGATGGTGACTGACCATGGCTTGTTTGCAGACTGCCTGTTTGTCCTCTTTCTCCAAGCGACCGACATGAGCAACATGACGACCATCTATTGACTGCTGATCGATGTGGAGATCTGAGTGGTGTTCCTGCTATACGTCCAATGTCATTTCGACAGCATTCGAGTATCCTTGGTTGAATGTGGATGGTGAGTGACTATGGGGATCCGTCCATTCGGTCAGGGTAAGATAGATGTATCGCACTGTCTCTCGGGTCGTTTTAGAAGGTAATTACGACCCTTTCTTTCCTTCTTTCCACAACATGTCCCTATGTATATAATTCCCTGTATGTTAGCCGCTCCACATATGAATCTCGCACGAGCCTCTCACCCCCGATATTCTAATATTCCAACTTTTCATCTTTTGATTTTCCTCCTCGTTCTCTTCCCCTGAAAACTCAACCATGTGCCACGCGTTTCACCTTTTCGGCGATACCGGCGGTATATCTCCGCGGGTGTCAGAATGGTGGGAGGGGGGTTAGGATAGCAGCCGGTAAGTAAAGTAGCACTGCCCTGTGTGACCGCCACCAACAAACCCCGTTGTATCCTTTTCATCCCACCCTACCTACCTACCTTACATCCACCCACCCACCCACCCATCCCTCCATTCACCAAACCCCACTCATCAGTATCTCATTTCACTTCCGGCTATTCTACACTTGCTCATTGTGGACTTAGAATGTCCCACTGATCATGTTCAAGAAGAACCAATCGAACCCTTCTCAACCATACGCTTTTTCTCAACCTACAGCAGTCAAGTCTTCCGTCCAAGCGCGAAAACAAGAGAACGAGACTTTTTATAAACCACTTCCCCCACCTATCAACCAAACTTCAAACCCAAACTTAAATACCAATACCAACAACCCTTACGTTCAAAACTCAGATAGAGGACAGAGGATAGATCCATTTAGTGATCAATATAGGACAAGAACACCTAGTCCACAACCTAACGCGTCGAGACCTTTATTAGAAGCAAGTCCAGATATGGCAAGACAATATCCTCAGAATCGTTTGCCGGGAAGTGGGAGTAGTCAAAGTGCTTTATTAGGTGAGAGACAGGTGAGTTCAATGGCTCTGAATCGGTTATATCTCATCCTTTTCCTTTCATCATGAGTCGTAACACTTCGACATGATATGCTCGATCTTGCTAAGGATTCCTTTCATTTTCCGCTCTCTTCACATCATCCTCCATCGTTCCTATCTCTCTGTGACCCAGACCACGATTCTTCGAGGCTTCGCCGCAGGGAAACGGCCATTCATACACAGCATGAGGTGGTTGCGAGGTGACTTCATACTCCTCATTTCGGTCCGATGGCCCGTGCCTCCCTTTGTCTCATATCCTCTTGTCTCGCTCACTTGTCTCGGTTTCGTCTCACATCCTCGTCATGTGCGAAACTTTCCGATTCTGCTGGATACCCTTGTGTCTCGCACGAATTCAATCCTGGTTCTGAACGGTCTCTCTGGTGTATCGTCCCAGCGACGTAGTCTTTCTCATATCTTTCTGTTTGAGAAGACATGGACGCTCACGCTTAGCCCGCTGCAAGACGATATGGTCCAACGGCAGCCTCCGTACCTGCAGGTCCTAATGCTGCTCTTCTCGGTAATTCATCCGGAAGTAGCGTGGGAGACAAGGCTGTTCCAGGTCAGAGTAACGCATTTGCAGGGCAGGATGTGGGAGGTTGGAATGCCTCGATAGATGGGTTGAACCCAGAGGCGGATGATTATTTGCATAACCCTGATCCTAAGCGGGATCGGACGGTGAGTTCAGTTTCCCTTTCTCCTATCTATCTCGGCCTCAACTATTCTCGTGTGCTGCCTTTTCCCGATGTGTACCTCCGCTCCGTCAACTGCGAGCCTCCTTTGGCTCACTCAATGTCTCCATCTCCTCCAGGATCCTGTTCGCCGTCTTTCGCTCCCATAACTCTACAGACGATCAATCCACCTGACTCACATGGACGATCGGTTTCACTCTGTCTTCGCATGTTTGAAGTATGACCATGGTGTAACTATGGGATAAGCCAGTCTCGAACCCAATTCCTCTTGTGCCCCGCTGATCGTAGAATGACCGTGGCGGATCTATCTTCACAACCCGTGGTCTCGCCAACATAGGTTGTCTCCTTTTCCTCCTATTATGTCTCATAACCCTCTTCGCCGGTTACCCTATCATATCACATTACACACAAACTACACTTAAAACAAACGGAGCATATAACCTCGGCGGTATAAACTCTACGGGGCAGGTCCCCCAGATCTCCAATTTCCCAACTGTCATTGATCCGGACACTCCGACGGATGCATATACCATCACTGGATTTGATGGAGAAACATATCAGTTGGTTTTCAGTGATGAGTTTGAGAAGGACGGAAGGACGTTTTATGAAGGGGATGATCCTTATTGGACGGCAGTGTGAGTGTCTCTTGAGACTCTCAGCTTGTCGTGTTCTTGCTCTATCCTATATCGCCATCTTCCATCATATCGCAAGCCGATTCCACTTCCAAGTCGTGCTCTTACCACGTATGCGTCCTGCCCTCGTGTCCTACGCTCTGTATCCTTCTCATAGAAAATATCTTGTTTCAGCTCTTCATATCACGTCGCTCGCCTCGTAGAATATGTAGAAATGGCCTGACACTCAGCGATATTCATTACTGGCCCACTGGCGATTTCGAATGGTACGATCCCTCTGCCGTCACAACATCCGGCGGCAATCTTGTCATCACCATGACCCAAGAACCCATCCACCAACTTAACTTCAAATCCGGCATGGTTCAGTCGTGGAACCAAATGTGTTTCCAATATTCTGCCCATTACGAAGTGAAAGTATCTTTACCTGGTACACCTCGGATCGGGGGTTTCTGGCCAGGTGCATGGATGATGGGTAACCTGGGTCGACCTGGTTACGGAGCGACTACAGAGGGTACCTGGCCATATACGTATGATAGTTGCGACTCGGGAACTTTGAAGAATCAGACCAACGCCGCCGGAACGGGTCCAGCTGGTGCTTTGGAAGGAAATGATGATACTGGGATATCCTTGTGAGTTTTTGTGTTTTGCGCATCTGTAATCTCTTTCTCGAAATCTCACGCGCTCCACATGCTATCTTTCGCTGACATGTGTGCCCTCTTCACTCATGATCTCTGAACGTCATTCTTGACGACGAAAGTATGTGCCTGTAACCCGGATTCTTTCAGGAACCGATTTCCGGCTCAATAGACTTGTCACTGATGGTACCTCCGGAATGTGTAAGCTGATCTTGCCAGCCTCCCCGGACAAAGAATGTCATCATGTACCTGTCCAGGTGAAGATCACGCAGGTCCAGATGTATCTTACGGTCGCGGAGTCCCCGAAATAGATGCTCTTGAAGCTCAAACGGATCTTTCGATCCCAATGGGTCAACTTTCACAATCGGCACAAGTAGCACCATTCGATATGGATTATCAATATACCAATACGACCGACGTTTGTATTCCTGTAGATACCACGAAAACAAAATTCAATTCATATCAAGGTGGAGTTTACCAAGAAGCTGTCTCAATGTTAACTTATATCGATGCGGCTTCATATCAACTGGAACAGGGTCAATTCGCAAAACATGGCTTTGAAATGTATAGTGATCCTAATGATAGACAAGCGGGGTACATAACTTGGTTTGCGGATGATAAAAAGACTTGGACCATGAAACCTGGTGCTGTACCACCTAGACCGGAAATGGATATCGGACAAAGGTTGATAACTGAGGAACCTATGGCTATGGTGGGTTGTTTGTTTTGCTGTTCTTCTCCCTATTCTTTTACTTCTGTTTGTCATGGATTATCCTTCTGTACTCCTTTCGGTTCATTCAATCTCAGTGTCTAATCTTACCCTACCGTCGGTCTCCGTTTTACATGATTCGAGTCACTGCTATGCTTCTGATGATCTTCCACTCCACCAGAGAGGGAGTCTTGTGTGATACATGAAGTCCCCCGTAATATAGCCTATCCAACACATCACTCACTCATCAATCCTCCCTTCTCACCCTTGTCTGAATTGAAACCTGAAACGAAATAATACTTTGATTTAGAGAATGATTCACTTGGTGTTCAATCTTTCTGTTGACCGGTCGTCTATCAAAATTGTGAATCACAAATAAAAATGCTCATGATCAGGTTCTGAATTTCGGAATGTCAAATAATTTCCAAACCGTCAATTTTGCTGAACTCGAATGGCCAGCACATATGCTTATCGATTACGTCAGAGTATATCAACGTCCAAATGGAAAGATCGGTTGTGATCCGGATGACAGACCGACTTCGGATTATATAAATAATCATTTGAACGCTTATTCAAATGCTAATTTGACCACTTGGGAACAAGCTGGTTATGGTATGCCTGTGAGTTTGGTGTATTTATTTCTCTTCTACTTCTCCCTTTGCTCTATTCCTCTCGTTCTCTCATTTTCTTCCTGCTAAGCTCCTTTTTACTTGATCTCGCTCTGCTTGTTTCTCCCCAGCGCTCATTGTCCATCTCCTTACCTAATGTTCTTTTCCATCCTTACCTGGGTTGTGATTCAAGGGACATTTGACCTCACAATGTTTTCCAAATTTCCATTGCTCTCACATTGTAAATCTTTGCTACGTGAAATTGAGGCGGTATAAAAGCTTGATATGGTCGGATATGACATGACCTCGAACACTATCCTCTTCAGGCTCGAGTTGAGGGATATGCTGTCTTCCCCGGTCGATCTACTGTATTCCAATCATCTTCGCCATCAATTCGCACCTTTTCCGTATGGACGTGGAGATGTTCAGTTGCCTGGCCACTTTGACGTAACGTTCAATTGACATTCAGAAAAACCGACTGGTCGACACTTGCTAAAAACCTCTCTTCTCGTCCATTCATATCAATCTCAAACCCACCACACTCCACCTCATCTTACTTTCCCCTCTCTGGGCGTTTCATCACCATACACGCCCAAGTCATCTCCCGTCACTCATACGGTCACTTGTGAGTCACGTTGGATCATAGGATCATCCAATATTACCTGCACGATGGACAATTGTCACGAAAAAATCCAAAGAGGAGATATGTATGCATGGCTTGTGTCGTTTATGGATTGATTTGGTCTTTGTGGATTCTCCTAATCGTTGATATCATTACTATGTCTGATGTCAATTGTGACAGAGTCTCCGTTCGACGCGATATTCCCACACTTCCGACTCAGACTAGCTCAACATCTATAGAGTCTTCCATGCTCGATCGTGAAGGCCTATCTGTCATCCGGCAATGCCCGTGTCATGAATGCAGTAAGGGACCTGCATCACAACGTCCTCGCTAGAAGGCTCGATACTCGACATCAGCCTGGCAGATGTTGATTTCCCTTACAAGGGGTACTCAGTTCCTGACAGCCCGTCTCTCACATCTATCTTGTTACACTGTGTATGTCCCATCTGTCACGCCTGCGCGCAACTTGTGAACGAGGGTAACGTGAAATCATTCCGCCTCCTGCCTGTCTTGCTCGCGGGTGAACCGTCATACTTACGCAAGACTGCCCTCGGAACCTTCAAGCCTCAAACATTACAATCCCACTTGAATCACCCTCGAGGAGGCTATGGAGAATGGCGAATGGAGTTCTCGCTACCACCTCAGAATTCTTGTAATTCTGACTGATATCTCTGACCATTCCTTACACTTTCTGTTATCTGGAATGGAGATATGGGAAGATTCAACAGTGCAGATCCCTTGCAAGCTGATTATCATATGCGCCTGGACCAGGAGAGAATAATCACAGTTCAAGGGATCATCAACAAGGAAGACAAGGCTTGATCCCAAATGTTAAGGACCCCGCGGGAGACGGACCCCTCCCGAGTGGCACGGTTTCAAGTACCCCTTTTAGACCGACTCAGAGAATCATACTACTCTGGAGGTGTCTGTAAGGACCAGACGTGGGGATAGTATGCGTCGATGAGCTGCAACAATGACACCTTGTAGGGAACAAACCTAGTAATGTAGTGTATCAAAGAGATCTGTAAGATCAATGAGATGTATGTCAAATGATCCAACTAGGAAAACACAAAATACATTTGACAAGACATTGCTGAGAAAAGACTACGTTCTATATACTAAAAAGAGCGCGGGATGATACTGACGAAGAGCATACATAGCTCGGAGTAATGTTGAGGTAGAATAGCAGAGAAAGAGCGATGATAGTTGCCAAGACGGAGATGTACAAAGGGGTAGTGGTGTTTAGAAGGATTGGTACCAGGCAGACAGAATTCTAGGCCTTAGGCACGTACACTTTGACTCTGTAGTGTGGGAGGTAGTACAATCACGTGTGAATACAAAGGCGGTAAACTCCGCCGGTAGTAGTACATAGCGAGATCAGTACCTGTTGTCTCTTCATCACTCATAGGAAAGTGCTGAATGAGCAACAGTCAAACCGACGATTCCGTCTCCGGCGCAGTACCAAACGGAGTAAGTCCGGATGCAGGAAAGAGAGACGGAGACGGGAATAGAAAGTGGATTACGACTCTAATAGGTAAGGTACCCGTGATTGCGTGATCCTGACAGTGTCCAGACCCACCCAGAGTAATTACTGCTCTCCCGGACCACAAGAAATTTGATGCTAGTCCTGCAAAAGTACTGCTTGCCCCAATGATGACCTAGTTGACCATCCCTCCCCATGTGTGGTAGCAGACAAATCCTGGGATCTTGCCCCAAATTTTGTATGATCACCAAAAGACATGGACTCATGATTGGTGAGGGGAATTTGGGAGATTGAAGTGATGAGTCAAGGCAGACTCATAGGAGCTCACTGCTCACAGATGAGAGTGTTTGGATGTCACAAACTACGTCGTGACACCTCAAATATCCCACCATCAACAACCCTCCTTTGACCATCAAAACCCCTATTACGTCCTAACCTCTTCACCCTACACGTAACCTAGGACATCTGAGACCAACTACGGCAAAAGTACAACGGGAGAATAAGGTATACAGGGGTCTGGAGCATAAGGATGGCGAAATGCGGCGAAGTTAGACGGAGTTAGGTTAAGTAGGGACAATGGGAGCCGAAGTATGGCGAAGTTAGACGGAGTTAGCCTAAGTAGGGACAATGGGAGCCGAAGTACGGCGAAGTTAGACGGAGTTAGGCTAAGTAGGGAGGGACAATGGGAGCCGAAGTACGACGAAGTTAGACGGAGTTAGGCTAAGTAGGGACAATGGGAGCAGAAGTGAGGCGATGATTAGGCGGAGTTAGTCGAAGGGGGGAGAAGTATGACCGGGGACTCGGGGAAGTTGGACGAAGTGCGTTGAAGTACGTCAAAGCGCAAGAGGGTCGGGTGAAAGTCTAGGAGGAGTAGATAATATTAGCTGAGAAGATTGCTGAAGTTCTTCAGCAATCCTTGATTGTTGTCAGTAGTGAAAGATTGATAGAGACAGCTACAATATAAATTGAGATACATCGCCATCAGTAAAAAGCCCTAGATAGAGTAACTACGCCAAAGTACGTCGTAGTTACATTCCTTTCGACGCGTGCGCCCTCCTGGTTGGGGGAGACATTGAGTCATAAGTATCAAGTTAGCCGAGGTTCGTCGACTGTCGGTCTTTCAGGAAGAAGTCATTTGATGGCCGTGACATTGGATCATAAGTCCTGATTCAGTATCTCTTTATTTTTCCAACTCAATTATATCATATATTGGATGTTTCTCCAGCTGGGTCTGTCAAGGGGTCAGACCACTCTGGAGTGGAACATCTCCCGTAGGGTCTGATTGCGTCTGTGCGGCTCCGGAGGGGTCCGTCTCCGGCGGGGACCTTAACAAACCCGCTTTGTACCCACTGCTCACTTTACTCAATACATCCTCTATGATCTCTCAGCTTGTGTACTAAGCACCTCTTCTCCACACGGTGTAAGGTTATCGGCTCTACTTCCTTCAACTATTTGTGGGAAATCTCTCTTGCTCATTCACGGTCTTTCCAACACGTTCCTAGGGTGTATTTAGTTTGGTAAGTCATCACAACATATCATTTTGTACCATACTCCTTGAGTTTGTCACTTGAGATCTATGACAACTTACACACCAGGACAATTTGAATGCGTGTTCAGACAGTTTTTTCTCCATCTTGGAGACTTCAACTACTATCTCAATGATACAATCTTATGAACGTATCTGGTAATCCTATAACCACCTGGGTGGGATATTGTGAAAAAGGAAGATCTTGCTGTCCTGACATTCTCAAAACGGTCCCCTTTACAGCTCTGAAGTCAGATCATAAGCAATCTCTCTCCCATGATTCACAAAGGTTTGCGGCCAAGAATGAGGGATTGATTACTTCCATCCCTGGGACCAAGACTCATTTCTCTGAGGCCCAAGGAAGGTGCCGGTCACTCATGGGAAGAAAATCAATTATTCATTGTTTGTACCCATGAAGGATCACCCATAGTACAGGGGGGATTTTTCTCCAGACTTCAGGTTGACCTGGAAACGGGGAGGGCAAACGGAGTTTGTAGAACTTTGGAATCAAGATTTCTGGATTGAGTTGAAAGCTGGAAGTGAACTTCACGTGCTGTGACTCTGTTTGGTCACTCTATCCCCTGGATTCAACTGGATTGTTGATAAGATCAAGCAAGAGGGAGAATTCACCGTAAGTCATGGTGAAACATTTGAGACTGCGTCTTGTCATGACCCTACTCATCATGACTTCCCCATCCATGGGTCCGGCCCATTCCTCAGAGGAAGGGTTCTCAGAGAAGTCTCACAGAAGTCTCACAGAAGAGAATAGAGATTTACGCCTCACTTTTATTCAAGATATCACTTTTTGATTCAAAGTATGACGTATCTGAACCTCTGGTGAAGACTTAGGTGAGATTCCCAACGGGAATCTCTTCAACGATAGTTTCTCTCTGCAGGATATATCAACCCCCCCTGTTGGCCCCATGGATCCTTTTTCCCCAAGGATCAAAATATCTGTTGCATTTCATATTTATCAGACCTCTTCGGGAGCACTCCTTACAGCAGTGTCATCCTTGTTTGATACATTCTAGCTTGACCACTCAATCCTTCCAAGCTATTCTATCCTTCTTGACTTATACTTTCTTGACTTGACTATCATCTGATCACTTCACAGTACCACGGACCATCTTCATTCGTCTTGGTCCAAGACCATCTAAACCTTTATCTTCCACTCCGTCTTTGTCCTTCAGGTCTCACAAGGACAGGTCGCAACAGGTCTCAACATTGTGCATCATGCATTCCTCTTTACCAATGAGTAGGTAAACCACTTGGATAATTGCAGAGGTACCTCCTCCCAATGAACCTTCTTCGATGTGGTGACCATACTCTTCCTATTCGGACCTGAGCAACTGAATTACATTATCTCTTGTCTACCGTCTGTAAGGACCAGACATCGGGATAGTCTGCCTTGATGAGCTATGACAATGGGGCCTTGTAGGGAACAAACCTAGTAATGTAGTGTATCAAAGAGATCTGTAAGATCGATGAGATGTATGTCAAATGATATAAGTAAGAAAACACAAAATACATTTGACAAGACATCATTGAGAAAAGACTACATCTATATACTAAAAAAAGCGCGGAGTGATACCAATGTGGAGCATGCGTGGTTCAAAATCATACTGAGGTGGAATAGCGAAGGAAGAACAATGAATAAGACGGACACGGAGATGTAAAAACAGGTAGTAGTGTTGAAGGATTGGTACTAGGCGTAGGAAAAGACGGAGTAACCCTGTTTGCGGGAACCAGACATGGAGACGGGAACAGAAGGATGTATTATGACTACTGGGTCAGGTACCTGTGGTACCTGTGATCCTGACACCATCAAACTGCATCCTCTCTAAACCCTTTAGTCTTATTCGCTCAGCCCAAAGCTGCTCAGGAATAGAAACCGGGACTGGAAGTGTGTCAGAAGGTTCCTGAGTCCCTCAGCTTAGATCATATCACACTCCACTGAGTGTTACGACCCTGTCACTCTACAATTTATTTGCCATCATCGCCTACTTCGACAGGCTCGTAACACCTACAACACCTTGCGACATCTCTTCGATCTATTGCTTCTCAAGTTGCGACATCCTTCATACCTCACCACCCTGGTGTCACTGTTGTCACCTTGACATCACCCTGACATCACCCTGCGCCACCCCGTGTCACTGTGGTACAATACGAGCCATGGTTGCACCATGTCACGGCCGTCGAATAACTTCTTTCCAATAGACCGACGGTCGACAAACCTCGGCTAACTTGATGATTCTAATTCGATGTCTCACCCAACCAGGAGGGCGCAGACGTCAAAAGGAGTGTAACTACGGCGAGCTTCGGCGTAGTTACTCTATCTGGGGATTTTCTCTGATGGCGATGTATCTCGTTGTATGGTAGCTATCTCTATTAATCTTTCACTACTGACAACAATCAAGGATCGCTGAAGAACTTCAGCAATCTTCTCAGCTAATAGTATCCACCACTCCCAGATGTTCATCCAACCTATCCGCGCTTCGACGCACTTTGGTCAACTTCCCCGAACCACCGAACACCCGATCCTCTAATCCTCGTCTAACTTCGCCGTACCTCTGCTTCCTCCATCCCTAGTCAATCTAACTCCGCCTAACCTCGTCGCACCTCGGTTCCCTTCACTCTTAATCTGTCTAACTTCGCCTAACTTTGTCGTGGTTGGTCTTAGATGTCCTAAGATACGTGTAAACCGAAGAGGTCAAGAATTGATGGAGGTTTGATGGTCAAAGGAGGGTCGTTGTTGGTGGGATTTAGGGGTGTCACGACGTAGTTCGTGACACACCACTACCAGGTGGCCCGCACCATACTGGAGGAACCTGACACCACCGTGTGTCAGGCTGCCGCCACTACGGATTAGGCTGGGTCAGCACGGATCAGCATGGGACGAGACCATTCAGGCTGGCGTCAGGACAACGCCGCCCGGAGAGGTGGCGCTACACTGGGGGGGCCAAATGAAGGATATAGAAGGAGCACATTTTGTCTTGATCCTCTTCAAGGATCAATCTATCATAAGTTACATTTAGTTACAATAGTCTTCCATAGGCCTTCCATAGTCTTGACATACATCTTTGGTCTACTCCGCTTCGCTCGCCGACACTTCGGGATCCTACGAGCACCCCTTCATCAACAGCACACCATCGTCACTGTCTATTCCCCAATCCCTTTGATCTTCGACCGCACAAGTCCAGTGGTTGTGCAACTTCGCCTCCGCACAACCCAAGCTCGCCAATTACGACAGTCAAAGTCTACTCGTTGCTGGCCCCAAGGCCTGCCAGGTTCGAGTCGTAACACTGCGGGAAACTTTGTGTATGTCCGTCACGTGATCCCACAATCTTCCGTGTGTTACCTACACAGTGGATATAAATGAAGCATGACCGGGAGGCCGGTTTCCGTTTCGTGCTACTACACATCCTACTTCCTACCTGTCGCATCGTACAAATATAGTGACCAGAACTTCAACAGTCAACTCACTCAATTGTCTTTGCCAAAGTCGTAGGTATAAGACAGTAGTGGTCCTTTCCCCGCCATTCAGACCAATTTTATACGAGAATGACCAGATCAATCACCCATAAACACATGGCTGATCTTGGTAGTTCTTTGAACACTAACCAAACCTTGAGAAGACAATATTGACTTACCCATAACTCTCCTGTAGGCAGTGTCGCCCGCACATTTCGGGTCAGAGAAGATACAAGACAAAATCAGCTCACTGGCGGGCATTTCCCTGGACTAGCCCTCGTCCGAACGTCATAATCATTGCTCCTTTCTATATACACAGCTTGAACTTCTTTCTTGGGCTATCCTATATCATAGCTTTCTTCTCTATCTCCCTTGTACCCCTCAGAGTTTTCTCACCCTATCTTTTCTTTGGGTTTAAAAGACTGAGGAAAAGCTTTGCCACCCCAAAGGTCTCTTACCTACCAAACTATTCAACCAGTATGAGCAGACCCATTGACCCCTCAAGTTCCCAAACGGGTGCTTCAGGCCCTCCTTCTAGCGTGAGTGATCCGTGGGACTGGCCATACAACAATCGTCCGCTGGATGCAGGTACCACTTTCAAGTCCGGTGGCATGCGGGTGACCAAGCATGATTATAAGATTGGTCTGCTGAAACCTATCTGTAAGGGTGTGGACTCAGGAGGTACTGCAGAGGTCATCAGTAGAATGAGAGTGTATGCTAGACCAGGAGGCTCTACATCACAGTTAGTCTTCATCTTGAAATATGTGAGAAATCTATCTCTTTCTTCGATGTGTATAACAGCTAACAAAGTCTTTAGACAGTCAAGTGCAAGGCTGGCTTGGAGGAGGGACCCTCGCTTGCCATATTCTCAGGGAGCACACCCGCAATCGAAGAAATTTTTGTATCACCCCAAGAGATCACCGCTTTGTCCACACCAGTGACTAGAGGAATATTCCAACTCGAAAGGAACTTGAAACTTTATTTTGAACCCGTACGCGGTTTGTGTCACGGCCGTCGAGCAACTTCTTCCTAATAGACCGACGGTCGACGAACCTCGGCTAACTTCACGCTTCTGAGTCGATGTCTCACCCAACCAGGAGGGCGCAGACGTCGAAAGGAGTGTAACTACGGCGTACTTCGGCGTAGTTACTCTAACTAAGGCTTTGTTCTATTGATGGCGATGTATCCCGATGTATAGCTATCTCTATTTGTCTTTTACTACTGACAACAATCAAGGATCGCTGAAGAAGTTCAGCGATCTGTAAACTATCTATACTACTCCTCTCTTCTCATAGAACGTCCCTCAACTCCTGCACTGCCTCACGCTCAGTCCTCTTCGTTCAACCTTGCCGTACCTCGCCGTATCCCCGATATCCTACTCCGCTCACTTCGACTAACTTCGCCTAACTTCCCCTGTTCTGCTCTCCCTCGGTTCCCTTCCCCTAACTTCGCCGTAGTTCTCCGCTAGACGGGGTTATCGTGACAAATACACTCTTGGTTCTCGTAACTTCGCCGTAGTTGGTCTCAGTGGTTCGAGTGGAGGTTGGTGGTGGTGAAAGGAAGGTCGGTGATGGTGAAAGGAGGGTCAGTGATGGTGGTTGTCAGGGATGTTACGACGTAGTTCGTGACAGTCGCCCCCTCCTTAGGCGCGAACGTCCTCGTGAGCTTTGTATGCATGTAATGAAGAAAAGGACACTCAGCAGGTTACAGGAAACACAATTGGTCATATAACAGTTGTTGGTAGATGATACCATGGTTCGTTGTTAAACGGACAGTAAACTTCGTCGAAGTTCATCGTGGTTGCTTGTTGTTACCCTGTGGTAGTTACGTTGTAAGTGAGACAGAGGATTTGGGGTACAACAAACCTCGTCGACGTTCGTCAGTGTATCCCTAACTTATATGAATGTGAGACACGTAGCGTGGGAATTTTGATCGTCGTCATGGTGTTTGTTGTTGCTGAGACACCTTGTTATGCGAAGTTACCAGCGCCCTGACGACGAGTAGCCATGTCAGTTATACTAAATACTCAGTACTTCGGCCCACTTCTTCTTCTTTCCCAGGACTAATCCTAAATCGTACTATCATCGTCTATCGATTTCCAGTCTTTACCTTACCAAACATATCAATTTGATATATTTCAACAAAATGTCTTCTCGTCCGGAGCTCAACGCCCATAAATTTTTTGCAGATCGCTTCGCCGCTGTCCGTAAGTCTACTTGTACTCTCTATAAGCTACTCTGTCGCTGATTGTCCTAGTCGCTCAGCAGGGGAGCTCTCCCCGCCAAGTGTCATCTATGGGCTTTGGAGCCTTAGCCATCACCGATGGCTCGCCTTCTGCTGCTGCAGCTTCCGCTGCAGTTCCTTCTGCCCCCGCGTCCCCTGCTGCGGTTACGACCCCTCTCTCCTCTGGCCAACAGGAGGTCAGACCTGCTCCTGTTGGCCCCTTGCAAGCTTCGGGTCAGTCCGCTACTGTGGTGGAAATCGACGATGATGATGAAGAGATGGATGGTGATGAGGAGGTGGTTGGTGTTCGTCGTGGTGAAGAGACGGGTGTGTTGGTTGATGATGGTGAGATGGGTGGTGCAGATGATGATGATGAGATGGGTGAGGTCGATGAGGATGAGGAAATCCTCAGTGTTGATCTCGGTGATCCGGCGCTGTTTGAGGATAGAGAAACTTGGGTGTCAGAGTTGGAAAAGTTAAGCCGTATGTCCTCTTGTCATATACCCTGCTCGTAAGTGCTGACATGTAGCTGTTCGTGATAATGAGGGGTCTCCCGAATTCCGCGTACGGCTCCAGACTTCTTTCGGGAAGAAACGGGTTGCGTATCAGGAGAAGATGGATGCTCTGGCTGAGATTAAAGCCGAGAAACGTCGCCGTTCCCCTTCCGCCCACGACGAAGTAACCCCTCCTTCGGCGAAACGGGTCAAAGAGACCCCTCGGTCCTCTACAGGACAGGCTGAATTGTTTCCCTCCCCTTCCCATGAGCCAGGGAGTGCTCGCAAGGCATCGTTGCGAGAGCAGGATAGGCTATGGAAGTTGTTTATCGATGAAAGGGAGCGATGGGAGGTCGCCAGTATGGATGAGTCGTGTGATAGATGTCGGTAGGTTCCTTCCCTAGAAGTTTATACATCTGCTGATCAGTAGCCGTGAAATTATCACGTATGGGAGAGCGAAATGGCCGTGTCTACGACCGGTCAAACCTCATAATCGCGGCTCCCGTTGTGCTTCTTGCACTTCTGGCCCCTGCTCGTTCTGTCCCCCCAACACCGCTCGGGATATTCCTCCTAGACCTTCTGCTCCCCTCGGTCCCCCCTACACTCCGTCCGCCGCTGTTCGCCGCCGTCTCCCCACAGCCCAAGACGGAAACTATCCTTCGCGCTCTCCTTCGGCGAACTTCTCCTCTCCTGGCCCCACCTCGCCGTCACCCGTCGTCCGTCGCCCGCCTAACTCTCCCGTGGCCGGACCGTCTCGTCTCCCTGCTACCCCTTCGGCAGGTTCGTCTCGTCGCGCGCCTTGCCGTGCTCCTTCCGCCTCCCTCCAGCCCTCGACACCTATGGCTGGCCCATCTCGTCTCCCGGCTACCCCTTCTGCCGGTCCGTCTCGTCCCACCAGGAGCCGTCCTACTCCTGTGTCAACTCAAGAGGAGTCTCCTCTAAGTCTCCCTCCTGCCCTTGGGACCCGAAGCCGTCAACCATCTGCTCCTCCTGCTTCTGGGCTCTCAACTCCTGCCCCTCCTGTGAAAACTCCTCCGAAATCTTCGAAAGGGAAAGGCAAGAAGAAGAAAGCTGTCCAGTTCGAACCGGCTGTGGTGGAAAACGAAAGTACTCAGCTACCAGAGGAAATCCCTCCTTCCCTCGACCACCCCACTATCGCTCTCGATCCTCGGATACCAGAGGAGGACAAACAGCTAGCCACCTTCCGTTCCGTCATTATTGGTTTAACCACTCAATTACAAGCCAATAGACGAGATACGGCGAAGCTCGTCGAATATTGCGTGAAGTTGGTCTCCGCGATGAATACTCTCTCTCGGACAATGGCAACCCTTGTGAACTCCTCCGACATAGGGCCATTAGGGCGAACTGAGTTAGCTAGAGTCTCCCGAGAGCTCACAACGGACATGAGCGACTTCTACCGCAATCTCTTTGACTCTCCCTACCTCCTGAACCCCACTGAGTATATGCTCCCCCCTACACTGGACTGGTTAAAGCCATCTCAACCAGCTCGACTCAGTTCTCAGGATGGTGCTTTCCTCGATATCCTAACTCTTCCCGCAGACTGCCTTAGAGCACTTCGTCAGTTGTGGAAATCACCTAGTCTGAGTCTCGCTCGTGATCCTGCTCTCCACTCCGCTCACATTCTCGCCTTTAACACAGCATGGAAGGAGACTCGAGCCCTCCGACGGACGGTGGCACCGAAGGTTACTGAGAGTAGTTCTGGGGGTGGTCCTGCACCGGGGAACGAGGAACAGGGAGGAAGTTCGCAGCAGTGAGTTGTACTTAGCTAATGTTGTACCAGTTGTATGAATTACTTCCTCGTTCGTGATCTTACCACTCGTCCTTTCATCGGCTTATCCGGGTGAAGTTCGTGGAACTTCGCCAATATGTCATTAGCTCCGTCCACGTTTTCTACTGGTTCCCATGATACTGCGTCATCTGAGCCTTCGTAACCTAACCATTCCACTAGATACTCTAACTTCCCTGACCTCTTATTCACTCTCGAGTCCACAATATCCTTTACTTCCCACGATTCTCCCACGTTATCCACCTCTACTGGGCCAGGTGGTTCAGCTTGCTGACCAGGAAATACTGGAGGATGATAGGGACGGAGCAAGGAGACATGGAATACATCATGGATACCTGCCATCGTTCCTGGTAATTCCAGCTTACAAGCATGAGAACCTACTTGCCGTACTACCTTGTACGGCCCACTTTGCTTAAGGTCCAACTTCTTCATTGGTCTCTTAGTCTTGATATTCTCTAACGACAGCATGACTAGGTCACCTTCCACGAAGTTTGGCGTAGTTCGATGTTTCCTGTTGTATCCTTCGGCGTACTTCTCATTAGCTCTCTCGATCCCCTCAATACATTCTTTGTGTATTTCGGTTAAGTCTTTTACCGCTACTGTAGCAGCAGGTACCTCAACCTCACTGGTCTTAATCTCTTCAGCCCACCGAGGGTGGTACCCATAGTTCGCATAAAACGGTGTCTTGTTTATCGCAGAATGGTGGGTGTTGTTATAAGCGAAGCTCGCTCGAGCAAGCAGCTTTGACCAGTCGTTTTGCTGATAAGAAGTGAAGATTCTAAGGTATAGTTCGAGGGATTGATTTGTTCGTTCAGTCTGTCCATCAGTCTGTGGATGATACGCAGTAGAGAGATGTAGTCTTATCCCGAGACTATCGGTCAAGTTCTTCCAAAACTTCGAGGTAAACTTCGATCCCCTGTCCGACACTATGTTCTCCGGTAACCCATGCTGAGCCACCACATAGTCCATTATCAGCTCTGATAGCCCAGCTGCGGTCAACTTCGTCGTAGTTGGGATAAAAACCGCCCATTTGGTCAATCGGTCCACTACTACCAGTATTGAATTATACCCATGGGAATTCGGGAGTTCTTCAATAAAATCCATCGAGATACTGGACCAAGGTTTCGTAGCCACCTCCAGCGGTTTAAGCTCCCCATGAGGTTTCTGCCTGTTAGTCTTTGCTCTTTGACATACCGCGCATCCAGCAACATAATCTTCGACATCCTTCCTTACTCCAACCCAGACATAATCCCTCAGGACTAGTTCAAGGGTCTTCGCCAAACCTGGATGACCGGCCAAGGCTGAGTCATGTCGCATCTTCATGATTTTTAGCCGAGCGTCGGCGTAGTTTGGCACATAAGTACGATCATCGAATGTGAGGAACCCCCTCGAGTTCCAACCTCCACGAAGTATTAGGGGGGACCGCGAACTACGGCGTAACTCGGCGACCGACTCTGGTTCCTGTACGTCATCTTGACATGTCGGATGGGAGCACTCAGCACAGGTTACTCCCAATAGTTCTTTCCTAACCTCCTCCACCTCTTCGTCCTCCTGTATTCCAATTATCAAATCCATAGGATCAATAAGGTCGTTCTCTCTCACTTCCTTTGTCCCTTGCAAGGCTCGAAGGAGGTGTTGTAACCCCGAGCTAGTCTCGTCAAGTTCGTCGAACTGCGGCAAGCCTTGAATAAGGTTGCTCTCTTGCACCATAGTACTTCCCTTTCCAGAGTGGTAGTCTGCCCTTCTAGACAGCCCGTCCGGCAGTGTGGCTTGTTTTCCTGGTCGGTACACCATTTTGAACCTGAAATTAGAGAGCTCTTCGACCCACCTACCCTGCCTAGGGCTAAGTTGTTTAGGTTCCATCCAATACGTCAAATTCAAATGATCTGTGAGAACTGTAGTCTCTACCTGTAGTAGTAAGTGTCTCCTTCTTCTGAAAGCTTCAACGATAGCTAGTAACTCCTTTTTGCCTACCGTGTAGTTCAGCTGCGCCGCCTGAAACGCTCCGGACTCGATAGCCACCGGGTGTTCTTGTCCCAACTCGTTCACCTGCAAAATTATGAAACCCCAGCCAAAGAACGACGCATCTGTTTGTAGTAGAGTCTTCAACGAGGGATCAAAGTGAGCCAATACAGGGGCCCTACACATCCTCTCCTTTAATTCTTTAAAAGCTCTTTCCTGTTCTACTCCCCAAACAAACGGTACATCCTTCCTGGTGAGATCATTGATCGGTTTAGCAATTCTGGAGAAGTTGGGGACAAAACGCCGATAATAACTGACAACTCCCATAAATCCTCTGCTCTCTCGCAAGTTCTTAGGACGAGGGAAAGACACGACAGCATCGATGTATTCCGGATTACTAGAAATCCCTTCTCGCGAAACCACGAACCCCAGGAAGACTACCGAATCTCTTTCAAACTCGCACTTACTTGCTTTTACGAACAAATTCGACCTTCGAAGCACTTCGAACACCTTCGCCGTAGTTCCTCTTAGTTCCTCCAACGTTTGACCGTAGATGAGTATATCATCTATGTAGACAACTACTCCTTTTCCCAGCAGCTCCCGAAAACTTTCATTCAAGAAGTGCTGAAACACAGCAGGAGCATTTCGTAGACCGTCTCGGACAACAAGAGACTCGAACATACCGTACTGAGTCCTGAACGCTGTCAAGTGTTCGTGTCCTTCCTTTACTCGTAAGAGTTGATAAGCCCCAATCAGATCTAACTTGCTGAAATACCTCGCGTTTCCTAGCTCTTCGGTTATCTGGCCGATCAGAGGCAGCGGATAGGCGTCGGGTATCGTTGCTTCGTTCAACTTTCGGTAATCAATGACCATTCGCCATTGACCTTTTGCTTTCTTTGGTACCAAGAACATCGGTGATCCGTAGGGCGAATTACTGGGTCGAATTCTTCCGGCCGATATTTCGCGATCTAGGATGTCTCTCAGCGCGCTTCTCTGATCTTCTCCAAGCGAGTAGAGTGGAGCAACCTTCAGGTTCGCCCCCTCCTTAAGATCAAACTCCAGATCATAGCCCCTCGAGGGAGGTAATTCTTCACCTCCCTTCCTTGGGTTAAAAACATCAATGAACGAGTGGTATTGTTCAGGAACCACCTGATACAATTCCTCCTGTTCCTCCGGACTCAGTTCATCCTGGTCATCTTTGTCTCGGAGATCTATCGCGTCCGTCGGAGTCGGCAGCCCTATGGCCGCTAACTTCGCCGCACTTGGTGGGGTTGGGATGGGAAATTTCACCGAGTTGTCTCTTCCATCAAGGACAACCCCTTCCTTCCTCATCCAATCCCACCCTATCACAACATCTGCGTCGCAGAGCGTTGTTACATCGAGACAAACAGATCGCACTTCGGCGTCCTTCGTCAAACTAAATCCGACTTCGACAAACTCGGTGATGGGTCCAGCGACACTCACCGAGCCGTCGAACATGTGAACGGGTACGCTCACCTGATATCGCCTCTTTTCTACACCTATCTTCGCTGCTGCCCTAGGGCTTATATATGAACAAGTAGCTCCAGTGTCCCAGAGCGTAGTTAGCTTTATTCCATTAATGAAAATGTCCGATTTAGGTTGATCTCTGGAAACGGAAGGGATGAGGAGATGATTATCGACATTGCATGAACAAGGGGTACTGAGTGGTGTATTTTTGTATTCACAATCCTCTGGCTCCATCAGCTGTGTTTCTTTTATGGGTTTGGGAATGGTGGCCGAGAGAATATGGCGGACCCGCCGAGCCTCGCCTACTGCGACAGGTCCTCTTCTTTTCCCTGGTCCTCTTCCAAATCTACTTCTCCTCCAACCGCATTCAAGTTCCTCCTCTGTCCGAGAGGTACTGCGTTCCCTCCCGATCCTCCACCACGTTCTCCGAACTTCTCCCCCCATGGAGGCAACAGTCCAACCTTAACCTTAGCCTCCCTTACAGGGCATTCCTTCAGCCAATGTCCTGCTTCACCACACTCGGTACACTTCCCCTCCTTCCTCCTTGTCTCCCTCAGATCGGAGCTCGGCCTAGGCCATCTTCGGCGAACTTCGTCGATGTTTGGCGGTGTACTCCTTACCACCGTCGACATCATAGCCGCCTGGACACCACCCTGCGCCGAAGGTTGCCCCTTTTCCCATTTCTTCTCTTCTTTCTTCTCCGTCCTCTGACTTTCCACCACTGTCGTTGTCCTTATCCCTCCTTCCCTTTTCCTCTCTGCCTCCTTCTCCACTTGTCTCCTCCACAGGCGGTTGTCCAAGGGAATCACAAACTCCAATAGCTCTTTCACAGTCCCAAACGATCTACCGTGTCTTGCAATTTCATCTAGAAGGTGCGATTTTAGTCCTTTCTTGGCTCGGTCAACTAGGTTTCCATCATCAGACCACTTAAGAATCGCAACATGTCGCTGGAAGGCGGAGAAGTAGTCCGAAGCAGACCCGGTTTGCTTGAGGTCGTTAAGTTGTCGGGCCGCAGTTCCTTCTTCGTCTGGATCACCAAAGTTAGTCTTGAGGTACTTAACGAACTGATCGTGTGTCGTGAGGTACTCAGGAAGAGGTCTTTTGGATAGATCGGGCTGCACTGCAAGAAGAGGTGTTTCGCGTAGATGAGAGATCATGAAAAAGACTTTCTTAGTGTCGTCGGGGAAAAGATGAGAGTTCAATTCGAAATGTACGTCGCACTCAGACAGAAAGGCGGTTAACTTGTTCCGATCTCCTCTCCAGAGGTCTGGGTTAGGTAGCTTTATCCCCTTCCGTTGTTCGCCCACTACGCTTGGGGTCGCCGAAGTTTGCCGTCCCATGGCGTACCTCACTCCTTCTGATATCCCTTCTGCAATCCCGCCCACTGTATCCCTTTCTCTTCTCTGTTCCCATTCCTCCCTACGCCTTCTCTCCTCCATCATGTCTTTGTTCATATTCGCCACCATCTGCATCAAGGCCAACACCACCCCTTGTGTTCCTTCTTCTCCCAAGTTCGCCGTACTTCCAGTGTTTTCTCTTGGGCGTGGGGTTTGGTCTGATCCAAGTGGGGATCCCGCAGGTGGGAGAGCATTAGACGGAGGAGAAGGAGGGTTAGAAGGCACCGGTGGAACGAACTCATCTCCTTGAATTGATCCCCCCACACTATCCTCCACTCCAAGGTCCTGCCCCATTGCTCTGCTAAGCTCCTCCAATGCTCTCCTCTCGTTCTCCTCCATCCTGTCTCCATCCCTACTCATCCCTCGTGTAATTCTTCTTTCTGGTTCCATATTATCTTTGTACTTCTCCGAGGTTCGCACGGGTCGTCGGTAAGAGCGATCCTTGATACTGTCACGGCCGTCGAGCAACTTCTTCCTAATAGACCGACGGTCGACGAACCTCGGCTAACTTCACGCTTCTGAGTCGATGTCTCACCCGACCAGGAGGGCGCAGACGTCGAAAGGAGTGTAACTACGGCGTACTTCGGCGTAGTTACTCTAACTAAGGCTTTGTTCTATTGATGGCGATGTATCCCGATGTATAGCTATCTCTATTTGTCTTTTACTACTGACAACAATCAAGGATCGCTGAAGAAGTTCAGCGATCTGTAAACTATCTATACTACTCCTCTCTTCTCATAGAACGTCCCTCAACTCCTGCACTGCCTCACGCTCAGTCCTCTTCGTTCAACCTTGCCGTACCTCGCCGTATCCCTGTCACAAAGCGTGTGACAAGTTGAGCGAAAGTCGGGGAAGGGTATTTAACCAGCGATCGGCGGTAGGGTTAACCGCCGAGTAATAGGCCTTTTCGTCGCAGTGGTTAAGATCACTGTTCCGTTGGGCACTGTTATATCGTGCATATGCTGGTCAGTATGTCTCGTGACAGATTAATCGGCGGTTACGGGTAGGATCCTGGGTTCGACTCCCCGGACGGCGCCGGGGGTAACCCAGGCCCTACTTGGAAAACCTCCCTCTCGGAGTAAGTTTTCGGTCTATCGTACCCTTCCCAAGTGTGGGGGCCCAAGCGGGGTCCCCTTGTCGGGGCCCCAACGCGGGGGCCCAAGAGGGTGCATAATGTCACAAAGCGTGTGACAAGTTGAGCGAAAGTCGGGGAAGGGTATTTAACCAGCGATCGGCGGTAGGGTTAACCGCCGATTAATAGGCCTTTTCGTCGCAGTGGTTAAGATCACTGTTCCGTTGGGCACTGTTATATCGTGCATATGCTGGTCAGTATGTCTCGTGACAATCCCCGATATCCTACTCCGCTCACTTCGACTAACTTCGCCTAACTTCCCCTGTTCTGCTCTCCCTCGGTTCCCTTCCCCTAACTTCGCCGTAGTTCTCCGCTAGACGGGGTTATCGTGACAAATACACTCTTGGTTCTCGTAACTTCGCCGTAGTTGGTCTCAGTGGTTCGAGTGGAGGTTGGTGGTGGTGAAAGGAAGGTCGGTGATGGTGAAAGGAGGGTCAGTGATGGTGGTTGTCAGGGATGTTACGACGTAGTTCGTGACAGTTTGACAAGAACCATACGTTATGAGCTACACCATCTTCCGAATGCAAAAGTGCCTCACAGTGCCGAGTTAGAAGAAGGTTATATTCTCCTATCCAGCTATGGGCACAGCGACGTTACCCTTTGGAATCCTTGGAATCCTTTTGAGAGTATGGGGTGTGAACTTGAATTTGACTGGACAAAATTAGCTCAAGCGAGGGTCAAACCTAGTGACGGAGGTCAGGTGTCTTGCCTCTCAGATCCAGTCTACAAGGGTATTCACAATAGTCTTGCTGGTCATTTTGAACTTCTGATAGACGGACAAAGACCGGATGGGATTATTCAGGATCTGCAACACACTGCAGCAAAATTACATACCACTTTGGTGATGCTTCAAACTAGAACACAAAAACTCATCAACAATACCGTGGAGTCACAACAGGCCGCGGGAAATTTGCCGAGCACTGCTGAGGGGTTGGAAGCCATGCAGGGGGAGTTGCAAACCACCTTGAACTCAGCAGCCCAGACTATTATTCCCAAGACGGACCTTGAGGCACTGTCTGACGAGATATCGGATCTGTGCGAGAGGTTCTTGGAGCTTGACATGATGCAGACTTTCCAGTCAGTTTTGGACAAAGCTGACGTTGGATAGACTTTTGCCGCTGAAGGCTTTTGATTTGGAGCCTTCCAAGGTCCAAATGAGTGAGATCTACATCATAGCCATAGATAGAAAAATGATGAAGAGGGTTCCAGAGTGAGTAGTGTCTTGTGAATTTATGCCCGAAGCCCACGTCCCGCTTGCCAACAATTGTGATGTTTGCATCATTCCAAGGCCTCAAACTCTCCTCCAATGTAAGACACCCCTTATCATGACCTCTACTTGTACTTGTAGGTTGCAAAACTTTTGTGTCATTGGCCATTGTGGCTGTATCATTTCTCTCCTCAGCTCTTTGCTTCACCCTCAGTCTTTTCTGGAACGACCGCCTCAGCTATGCCATGTACATTATCCTGGGACTCTATATGTCCTTGCATGGATTGTGCATAGACTTGAAAGCGAGATTCTTAGGGCTTGACTTGATGGCAGTACCTGAAGGTATGATGGGACTTCTGCAGCCGCATGAAACATGTTAGCGTCTTTGAGATCATCTGAAACACATATGTTGATCATAAAATGCAGATGTGAGGTATTTACATATACCAAATACCTGTATATACAATGATTCACCCAAGTCCAGCTCTTCATCTCCGCCCTTCCTTCTAATATAACTTCTCCTTACAATACACTCACGTCGATTCGTGCAAATCCCATAGCAAATCTAATCTCGTTTAGTCATTCTCCTCACAGATACTTCTCACTTAAGAACCACTTCTCACATTGATTCTTAGTGAGTTGTGTATGTCCCATAACAACTCTAACCGTTTCGCCTTGTTCTTTCTTTAATTTTGGGACTAGGTAGCCACACCACCTAGGTAAACTTTTGACGATCATCGTCTAGCACCGCTTGTGGCTTCGTGGTCTCATTCAGGGGACAGGACCGTGATTGGCTCTACGTTCCCACACCCATATACGTCATATACGTCCCTCCATTCTACCCGTTTACATAGCTTGGTCCTTCTTCCATGAAGTTCTCATGTCATAGCCTCCACCATTCACTCCCTTGTTACTCTTCAATCTTCCCCACCCCATTCTAGAGGATTTAAGAGGGGAAGAGAGATCTTGCCACCCTATTGACTAGTCACCAACTTAACAATCAAACTTTCAGTATGACCGACGACGATGCTGATCCTCCAAATCTTCTTGAACTGATCAAGGGTGTCTTGCCATATCAGGCTATTGTGGCGATCCCGCCCATCACAAAGGCGGACCCTTGGGAATGGGACAGTGACCCAACACATCCGCTTGACGCCGGTACCAAGATTACTAGCCCGGGCTGGAGGATAACCAAGCATGGCTACAGGGATGATATACTTCGCTTCTTCATTGGTTATTTGCACAACGGATATGACTCAAGAGTTGACAGTTGCACAGAAGTGCATGTTGGAGCTGAGACGTTCATGTTGTATTATGTAAGTGCATAGCTCTCTATCAAAAACTGCTGACCTATTCACTTGCTGATCAGTCTCTAGAGCGTACAGATTACAATGGACCCAGCAGGAGAATATGAAACTCATCAGTCTTTAGTAAACCAACAGTCGGGTGAGACTGCTTCTCAGACTTTAGCCAATGAGACGGAATCTGTGCGCAAGGGAAGATAAACGCTTGAAAGAGCACTAAACTTTCGACTCCCACCTGTGCCCGGACTGAAAGAAGTAATAACATACCAAATTCATCACCTTTCAAGTGCAGTGGATGATGAGCCACAGAATTTTGAAAAGAATCCTATTGTCTTCTCATGCTCTGTGAATAGCCAGATCAATCACCATAAGCATGATGGCACAGTGTCTCGGCAGCTTGCATCTGACTGGTCCAAAGCTGCAAAAGCCAAGGTCGAGCCTAGTAAGGGAGGTAATGTATCCGGTTTAGATGACAAGACAAAGCGGTGTCATGATCGTATCCTTGGGTTTTTCAATACTCATCAAGACGGGGATCCGGATGGGATAATTCAGCAAATGCAAAGTACTAGAGATCAGTTGTGGGAGGCTTATGAAGCGTTGGTGGCCAAGGTGCAATCATCAACAACAGCACCTCTGACAGATGAAGATGGGATAGTGCTCAAGTTTGAGCAATTGGTGACAAACGTGCTGGATCTGGGTACACAGTTCAGGGAGTTGGGCATGGAGGGGACCTACCAGTCAATTCTCCTTGAACCACACATTTACTCTAGCACGGGAGCATGAGCTATATTCCTATTATTATTAGTTGAACGGATATAGACCGACGTCACACCAAAAGACAGATGAGAAATCAAGAGGAATCCAGAGTAGTAACTCTCTTGGGCCTTGCTTGCCCTTAATTGCTAACCGTTTGCTGATTCAACATCTGTATCTCGTGTCCGGCATGATACCCTCTTTCCAGACCACAAAACACTTATCATCACCTCTACTCGTTTTTTTAGTGATTTCCAATTATCAAATGACAGACAAGTTGATCATTCAATGCAGATGAAAGGTATTTACAGATAACAAATACAAGTCTATACAATGATTCCTTGAGTCCAGCTCTTCATACCCTCCATTCGGTTCGATGAAGTTCCTCCGTACGGATAGAGGCACGCATATTCTCGGGAGAATCAAATGGTAAACCCCCTTCAATCCATTCTTTTCCGGCTCTTCATTCACCCTTCGAGAATTCTCCTTCCATCAGATCAATCCTGTCCATTCTGTAGATATCCACATATTTTCAGGAGAATCAAATGGTAAAACCCCTTCCGTCCATCCATTTCCTTTTTCCATTGGATATCCCTCTATCTGTCCTAGATCCACAGGAGAGACAATCGGTGAACGAGGTAATGGTACGAATCTCGGATCCACCTCTCCTTTTTCCATCTCGGAATCATTCACAAGTGTCCTATCGGCTTCTTCTATTGATGAATTTGATCGTGATGATGATCCTGAAGTCGACCTCTGACCTTCACCAAGAGATTGAGATGACGACCATGTTGGCCGAAGACTGTTATATGTGATCGTACCTGAACTATCGGACTTTTCAGAGAGATTAGAAGGTGATAAGGTGTTTGGTCGAGGAGAGAGATTTGGATACGGTGACCTAATGTTTGGTCGGGGAGACGGTGAAGGTGAAGGTGAGAATTGTAACCATTCTTCCACTTCTCTCCCAAATCTTTCTTCTTCACTCCCTTCTTCATTCGATTCGTTAGGTTCTCCATCAAGAGAATAAGGCATACTTGCCCAATGTGCCACTAATCGGGAAACAACTTGTTCGTCGTTCCCCTCTTCGACTTGAGGAAAAGTGGGAAAGTCGGTAGTTGGTGGACCCTGAGTTGGCCAATTGGATATATTCGGTTGTTGGGATAACGAATCTTGGAGAGAAGAAAGAGTACCGAAATCACCGAAGAAATCTAAGGAGCCATCTTGAGGCATATTTAATTCCCTAGTTAAATTAGAGAGGATATCTTCTAATTCCGTGGTTGCCCATTCTTCGTTCATCGGAAGTCCCATACCTAGATTTTCGAATGAAGGATATGTGGCTGTATATTGGGATGAATTACTTGTGTTGGGGAAAGAAGGTGTAGGAGGTGTGAAGTCGAATCCTGGTATTCCAGGTATATCGGGAAGAGTTATCATCGGTCCTCGCCAATTTGGTCCCATGATGGTTTGAGCGGGACCGGGGATCTGTTGTGAGGCGGTAGTGACCGAAGAAGGTGAGGTGGAGAAATCCGATGGAGAGCTGAACGCTGTGGAGGATGGAGTGGTACCGAAGGAAGAAGGGGAGAAGTACGAGTCATGAGAGGCGGAAGAGTCGGATGATGTGGAGACTGATCGAGTGAGAGATTCGTCTCGGTCCGTCGACTCGAAATTTGGAAGATTGGGAGGTGGCATGACAGCTGAAGTAGCTGATGAAGTAGACTTCTTTCCTCGAGTGGGCAGAGCTCGGACTTTCCTGCCGCCTTGAGAGGGTACGATAGGTGCTGGAAGACTTGTCGAAGGTTGAGGTCCGGCGGCGTAAGAGATGGATAATCCCGATGATGGATGTGATGACGGGGGAATCGTGACAGTAGGTATAGTAAGGTGATCAGGAGTATTAGAGTCGGTAGAGGGAATGGAGGTTGGTTGCTGGTTTCGTTTCGGTAGTTTGGCAACAGGTCGTTCTTTCTTCACTCTTCCAGCTCTGAACGGTTTCCCACTAACCGCAGCCCGTTTTTCCCTCGCTCGGCGATTTTGGAACTATTCGTCAGCTCTTGCCACCACTACTAACATTCCACAACAGTCCATGAGGTCTCACACTATAAACTCAATCCTGAAGCGTGGGAGAAAGGAATGGAAACGAGAAGGGACGTTTTGTATGACGCAACGAGGCATCGAACAATAGATGACTGGATCATATGTGTGTGGGGACGATGGAATGTCGAAGCGAAGTGCCACATTCAAATCCGCCACACTGCCACATTGGAGAACAATAAACTACAGTGACAGACGCGCGGGCCCGTGTCATCCAGGAACGATCAGATGTTCAGTGGCACCTTGGACGATGTGGCGGTCTGTGCTTTTTGTAGACGCGTCAAGGTTTATTGTTCGCTCCAACACCATCAAACGAAAAAAGTGGGGGACAAAAGAGAGGAGAAGTAGGGGCCACGAAGGGGTGGTATTGGACAAGGGGGCGAAGGGGATGCCTCGAGACCAAGGAAACTATAGAGGGACGAAGCAGACCCAGGAGATGGCGTTGAAGCGGTAGGAGATTATGGAAGGAGGGCGAAGAGAAGGAGGGGAAAGCGGAAGGGAAGTGGACTAACCCAGGTGCGAACCTTCGAGTCAGCCGATGCATTGAGTGGAAGATAAGGGAACTCACTTGTGCAGGATCGAGTTGGGCTGCTTGGGCGATGAGATGACACTCTCGAACCGACAGCATGTGCGTTCGAGAATAGGCCGACTCGAGAACCTGTAAGGCACCCTTCGAATAAGCCAGCCTACGGGTCGTCCAAGAGAGACTCACTGAGGGAAACCCATTGACACTGGTAGGGCAGTCGATGAAGCTACTCTTGGATCCCTTGGACATGTACTGCATAAGGGCGTCATTGACCGTCTGTTTTACCTCTTGTAGTCGATTACGGTACTGTGATTCATAGATTCGACACAGTCGGTGCTCAACACTCTCGTCGCCCTCTCCTCCCACATACTCCAAAGACTTCGTACCATTTAGAGTGGTCTGAAAGGCTACCTGGGTGTTCTGTTTTAGGTGGAGTAATCTTTCTGTGACAAGGCGGATTACATCCAATCTGATAAGGTCAAATTCTGGGCTTTCGAAGATCACGGGATAAAGAGGATAGCTGTCGAAGTGATCCAGCTGAGGAGTGACGCCGGTTCGTCGAAGGGGATGGGAAGATGTGTCACTTCCACGGTGTTGACGTTGTATTTCCGAAGCAACAGTCAGGATACGGCGGTACTGTGGGAGCATAGTCAGAGGGGTGGGTGGAAGAGAGAATGTAAAAGATGGTATGGTGCGTAAGAAAAGTGTGGAGGTCAAACAATGAATCTTCCACAAAAAGCCTATGTCCGGTCGAATGCAGGGTCAATCAAACAGCCTTTTGTCCGAGCCGATGCATACCTACTTGGATACATCTCTGGCTGTGAAATATGCTTTCTCGCCATTCTTACTATCTCTCTCTGTACATCTGCTCTGATTTCAGCATCAATTTGGAGTATGGAACCTCAAGGCATGGCACAGGAACTGCTCGCCTGTTATCACGACCTCCATAGTCATCTCCATGATCCAGAGCGCGTACGAGAACATCTCCCACGCTGGACGCAGCTGCAAAAATGGTTTGCGCAGGTCGCTGCCGATGGAACCCTCAGCCGGGAGACTGCTAGAGCAGGGCTATCTGTCAGCAAGAACATCTCGAGTATAGTGACACGCATACTAGAGCTGGAGGACACGTCGTACCGTGCATTAGCAGAGGTCTCGGCCTGCACTACAGAGATCATGGAAGGGTGGAAAGGTTGGTCACTCCTCATGATTCCCAGGACGTCACCGATATATCACCGGCAAGTGTTGAGCTGACGGCATCAGCTGGAACCAGTATCAATTTGGCGACAAGGAAAAAGCGCTCTTGGGCAAGCCTTTCCTCTCCTTCACCATTCACCGCATCAAAGCGTCCGCGACCTCTCTCACCCTCCCCAGAAACCCTCTCGGCCGCTCATGAAATCTCTTCATCGACACTCCACCACCCCACCTCCCCCGGCCTCACCCCCCAATTCCCTCATTCCTCCATTCCCCCTTTCACGACCCTATTGTCCCCCCCAACCGACCCAATCCGCACGTGGTTCATCTCCCATCTCGCCTCCCCCTACCCAACCCCACTCGAAAAAGTCGAACTAGCCACATCAGCCAATATAACAACCAACAAGCTCGATTCCGATTTAGTCAACTGGCGTCGAAGATCCGGGTGGGCGAATGTTAGGGATAAGTATTGCGGTGGGAACAAACATCGAACTGAGAGGTTGATCGAAGATGTTTTAAGTGGGAAAGAAAGGAGGAAAGAAATTTTGAGAGATGTCGAAAAGGTTAGAGCGTATTTAGAGAGGAGGGAAGAAGAACGAGTTGGTGATTGGGTCAAAGATGTGAGTTTATCTTTTGGCATCATATCACTTCATTCCATCATTAACTTCACTACCTTGTCATTCACCCATGATCGTGGTCGTGTTGTGAGGAGTCGAGATGTGTATGTATTTCAGTTTGGGAGTTTCGATGGGTGAATTTGATTAGTATTGTGAAGAAGGAGGTCGCCACTCATTTCTTTGGTGGACAAAGACCTGTCATACTTATCTCTTTCACTTTCGTCGAAATGTCATTACGCATCTCTGTATCGGACTATCATTCTTAGTTCCCCAATCTTGGGAGATTGAGTAGTGACAATATCATCATCCTTGACTCATTCCACAATCTGAAACGTTACGGCGGATTATGACATTCATTTCCATTAGCTTCAAAACTCTTCGAGACTCGAATCCTCGTTTTGACGTCGAGCGTGTTTCATTTGAAGATACGGCAAGCTGACCTCCAGCTTATCGCTCTCCCAACAGTGGCCAACACAATCTCAACACAAGATCCCATTCGATTATCTCACACTGCTCGCACACCATCTACCTCCTCCACATCCTCAGCTTCCAACTACATCAACGAAATCTCCCCATCATCCCGCTCCATCTCTTCGTCATCCTCTTCTTCCACATCATCCTTCGGTTCAATCTCGAACACGTCGTCAGTATCCGAAGCGTCCAACCTCATCCCGGTCAATAACAAACGTCCTCTTCCCCCAACTTTCCAAGATGAGTCCGAAAGGCCATCAGTAAGAGTGAAGACGGAACATTCGGAAGATCACACGATGTCGGAGGACTTCGTGATGGATTCTGAATACGTCGAATCGCCTGTTGGATATTACGCAGCAGATGGAGGATACCAGAGAGAAATGCCATATCCCTCGAATGGTACGCAGAGTACTTGTGGGAGTTTGTGGTCGACAGAGGCTTCGTTGCCCATGTTACCACATATGCAGAGTGCAGTGGGTGGCAGTGCCAGCGAGGCGAGTTTCAAGTTGCCGGAAACACATCGATTCGACTTTCAATGGAACGAGTCCCAGTAAGAGTTGTGATATAGTACGTGTTTGATTTCCGCAAAGAGCGATATGCTGATGATCAAGGAAAATGAACCTGGGAGTGAGCGAAAACGATCAATATGTGGGAAAAGTAAGAGGAGTGGATTCATAGATATATTTGGAGCGTTGGAGAGGACGAAAGATGACATGACTTGTGGATCGTCTGTACAGTCACCCACCCATACAAATGTCCATCTGACGACCGGCGACGAAATTTTTGTGAATAGATCTGTGTGTATAGATCATGTATGACGATCAAAGATCCTTTGGAAGATCCGTCCTCGTCGCGTTCTGCCAGATCCATGGTATCAAACTGCTTTTGTTCATCATCAGTAAACACGAGGCAGAACGAGTCAGCTGACAGTAAATAAAAAGGGATTCAGGAGACGTGAGCGAATTTAGAGCGTCAATTACGTCAACACATGCCGTCATCTCCAATCCGCCGTGGCAATGCAATGCAAATTCATCCACCGATCAAACTCACTCGCACCATACTTCAGATCCACTGAGTGATCCTCCGTACTGGTCTAACCACACTCCCACAGACTTACTCGTCGTCTTCGGCATCGTCCTGGTCAACCTTGAAGTATCGCAGAGCGTAGGTGTCCTTGGCGACAGCGACGACACTGGAGGTTAGCAGGATGCCATGTGGATGACTATGCGACCGTCCTCATGGCCATACTTGTCGCCGGGATCGATCTTTCAGGATGACGACACAGTGATGGGGAGCTAAGGGGATGGCGAGGGGTGCCCAGAAGATATCATCCGATGGAAGGGACAAAACAAAGGCAGGGATATACAGCAACTCACCGAAGAAAATTCTCGAGCATGTTCTTCTTCAGGTATTTCTTGGTCAAATACTTGAGGTATCGCTTAGAGAAGGGAATGTAAGCGGCGATGACAATCTTGTTCCCTGACAATTAGCATGGTAATCTCATCTTCACTTGACAACCATCACCGAGAAGACCTTCGGCGAGTCCGAGCGGGAAGGTACGGTAATCAGAATCCATGGAATCACACGTGATGTCATTGTGGGTGGAACGAGGGAGTTGTCGGAAGAAAGACATGAGACGGTCTGGGCATGAGAGTGGAAGGGAGGTTGGTGGAATGGGGCTTCGGTGGTAGACTAGCTCGAACTCACCTTCTCTGGTAATAACAACAGCTTCACCGAGCTGACCCGCTTTACCCTCTACCTTGATACGATCATGCAAGAACTTCTCGAACGAAGCTGCGTCGAAGACTCCATCGTTGACGGGGACAGAGTAGTCGATGAAGAATTTGTGGAGGGGCTTGCCCGTGACGGGTTTGACGGCGGTTTTGGGCTGTTGGAGAGATCGCATTGAGAGATCACACAGACATGAACCAGACGAGTGGACGGACGGGAAGGCGGAGGGACATGATGAGTAGAATGAGTCACAAGCGAAGGGAAAGTGGGTGAGGAATGATTCAACAGGTCGATAGGAAGAGTAGTGGAGAGAACGGAAGATGGGAGAAGAAGAACAATGTCAGCATATTTCTGAGCCACTGCATGAAAGAGCTCACCATGATCGTCTACAGAGTTCCTCTTGCTATGAGGGGTCCTGCAAAACTCGATGGAAGTAATCGAAATGGTAGGAAGAAGGATGGAGGATGGAATTTCACTAGCGAGAACAGCGTCGGAGTTTCGATCGGTCTATCGGAGATATGGCGAGATGGGAAAGACGTAGAGAGTGTGGCATTGTTCGGATGTGGCGCGGGGGTGAGTGTGGCATTTTTTCACTTTTGGCCGGGTGAGAAGCGCGCGCATCAAAGACCAGGATTCACGCGCACTCCCACGGCGGGATAGAAAGTGACCACACGGCGAGAGATCGGGGAGCATGACTGACCACATATGACCCGAAAGATCTTGGAACTTCCTCAGGACCAACGTGAAAGCAAGGAGTGTACGGTTCAGCTGGTGAAATCACACTGCTTTTGTTATGTGCACCTTGACCAACGATGGGAACATCGGTAGTGATCCTCGGGACGTTGTGAGAAAGCGGAAGACCTTTGGAGAGAAGAAAAGTTCCATAGACTATAGCCTGGGGTGGAAACCGTCTCCGATTGAGACTCAAAAACCTCAGATGACCATTCTCGGGGTATGAGATATTGTGATTCAACACTTAATAGGATATCAAAGTGGTAGTACATGTACGGATATATCATCACCAATGTGTCTCAGGCGCTCTCATATTTCTCCAGATGAGGTCGAGGGTATGAGGTCATATGTCAAGAGCTCTATTTCTGTGCCTCATGTATCCGTACCCTATTCTTGGGTGAGATACTGCCAGTAGTTTCTCGACTCTCCCCAGGATTTCTTTAAGACTGGTGCGCGGGCCCTCCCACTTTGTGACGAGGACCTCCGAGCGACTGGTTAAACATGGCTTGAATATATCCGAGTTGAGATCCAATGAGAAGGAGCGCGTTAGCTTATCTAGTATCGAAATGCACTGTTCTCGACTAACTTCTTGAGAGAACCCATCCCACTACTCACGAGGGTCTCCTGCACTAACACCCCTGCAAACCCACTCATGTATCTCGGTGCAGTGAAAATGGAGTCACTTAAATGTTCCAACTTCTCGGATAGCTCGTCATCGGTCTTTGACTTCTGGCTTCCATGGGGAAGCATGGGGAATTCCAACGGGATCTTGATGGAGGAGGACTCTCCTCTGCCTTTGACAAACATGCTCCTGTGACCCTGGTCACCTCTGATCTACGGAATCGTCGGTACGCATAGAGTTCAACACCTCTTACTCACATCAACTCTACTCTCAAGCTTACAAGCTGGCCCTGCAGAAGCAGTGATACGAAAGAACATGTCAATTGTCAAGGTCCGTGAAAGATACTTTATTTCTTCGGGAACCCATTTGGGTGTCTCGAGAACCAATTTGAATTTCGTTTCGGTCCTATCTCCGTCAATGCGAACAGGAAATTGGGTTGTCATTACTCTCACATATACTGTATGCAAGTGTTTATTGATGGGAAAAGGTAAGAGAAACGGTGAGAAATCGCCTTTACGGGTGGGGTACGAATGTAGTCCGGGCGTGTAGGAGCTTCACGTCTTTTCATACCTTCCTTGAGCATTTCTAACCCATCTTATACACTCTTCATACTTTCTCACACTCTGACATCATCTGAAAAGAGATCACAAACTATCATGATGGGCAGGACGAGAAGGTAGAGTGAGTCGGCTTACCAATCATCCTCTTCTACCTCCACCAGCCACATACTTTGACAACCATCCGAACCATGGCAGCAATTGTTCCTCGCCATGTTCAGTGTCTCAGATAATAAGTGAAGAACAGTGACATGTCCTTCTTGGCATACAATGAAAACGGGAAGAACAGGGTGTAGATCCAGGGTGGTGTTGCATCTGCATGGACGGATCTAGATGACAACTTTTCTCTGCATACAAACGACTTACCGTATCATGGTGTTGTACCTTTCCGTCGAGCTTGGGTTTGAGGTTTTAGAACAATTTGTCCGTTGACAATGTTGTAAGGCAATATAGCGGATCCACTGATGCATATGTATAAAGAGACAGATACGATGATAGTATGGTAAGGGCTTGAACCGCCTGAATTTGTCCGCCACTCGTTTGCGGGGACGTACAGGTGCAAGTATGCAATGTCTTATATTTTGACCTCCCTATATCAGCTACATTCGTCCCTCCAAAGCATCTCATTCTCCACTCATCAACAATGTTAAGGAAAGCGGGGCAACGGTCACCTCAAATCATCTTGTCTCCTGTCCACTCCAATTTCAAAAGACTTTCATTCCAGCCTCGCCTTTGATAGATCGCGGTTCCAACCAAAGACCAGAAACACAAGCATTGAATGACTAAGCAAGCAAACTGAGTGGTGTATTGACAGGAAGGCGAATGGGCATGATCCGGCCGTACGAGCATTCAGAGAAACTCAGAGCACTGCTTTGAGCGTGGGAAATGCAGTGCATGGGAACGAAACGAGAGTGATGCTTGAGATGTTTCCACGTCTCCTTTCAACAATGACGGAGAGCGATGGGATCGGTGTCTCTCGAGAAGCCAATGTAGAAGATACTTAAACATACTAACTCTGTTGAGTCTGCATCCTCATCTGATAATCTTAGACAAGTGACCATCTTTTGGAATGAGTCAGATGTTTCCTGTGGTTATTATCCCTGTTATACAATCATCTCCTATACCTGCTCATGCTTTGCTCGCCCCCAATTCCGGGGACTCGACACAGGGATCAATGGAGGCGGTCATCCAAACGCTAATTGACTACTTTCCACCGGTACAGGAGCAGTTGGACAAGCTCAGAAAAGACAAGACTTCAGGCGCTACTATTTCTGGTGGGAGAACTACCCCTGAAAATCATGAAGAAGACACGGAAGCAATGGACGTGCGGGAAACCATAGCAACTACCAGCTCTCCTCAATCCCAGCGGCGAACAGAGCTATGTGTTGAGCTCATTACTGCAGCCCCAGCACCCGACCAAGAGCCAACTGAGAGTTTGTGGGCGCGACTCAAAATTACCACCAAGACTCATCATGTGAGTTCTTGCGTGGACTGTTGATCAAGCTGACGATCAGGATAACACAACAAGTGAGAATCTCGCCGACAGGCAGAAGACCCACTCTAAGTATGTAGAGAGTTTTGCTGCTGTGTTCGGAAAGCCGTTTTCTCAAAGCTCCCGGAAGATGAACGAAGAACTCAAAACTTTCGAGGGCAGCAGGGGTGACCTTTTGGAGCACACACGTAGGGACGAGGCTGATGACCCACTCATATTTTCAGGGATTGTCAACTGTGAGACACTTGAGATGAGGCTGTTCGAAAGTAACAGGTACACTCCAATCAGGACCTTATTGAAAGAGGCTTATCAATTGTTGAAACTGAGAATTATCCCCAGTGTCACACTGGGTGCTTTTACAGACTCAAATGGAGTCCTACACACCTACCTCATTCCTCAGGGTGATATAGATACTATATCAAGACACATCAGTGAATCCAAGAAAGAGAGCTCATTACTACTCTATCTCGTTCATACTTGTCAATGACGGGAGACAAAAAGTGCACTCCTGACGTCTATAGCACTCCAGTCTGATATGTGTTACTTGTGTCGGATTCCAGCAGAGGTCGATTGCTGTTTCATGGCGTCATTGACCCATGCACGGTTGCGGCACTGATACTGGGTCTTCCAAAGCGGACTCCAGGCTTCCGCTCCACCTTACTAAGAGATTCCCACAACAAGTGAAGTAGCTGTGTTGTAGTTCATGGCATGAGCTCTTCCACGCCCAGAAAAGACTTGACCAGGGAGTGTTATGAGGTTACCACACTAATCATGTTTGTCTGAGTTGTTAGGACGTCTTCCAATCTCCGTCTCTCCTTGTGCAGCATGGAGGTGATAAGCATGCAAAGCGTTTGAGACATGTGCCACTTGACCCGAGATAGGTACTCCTAGATCAGGGCATGACGCTGACAGTACATGAATACAGTATCGTAAGAAGTATCAGTATAAATGATCTGCTTCCGTGCATTCTCAATAGCACTTCCCTGCCTCGGTACTTGAAGAGATCAAATGCTTTGTATCCTAATGTGTATAAACTAGTCGTGATTATTCAGAGGTCGTTGAGACTTTCACCTTAGCACAATTACTACCTAGCCTCCTGGACAGTCATGGCACAAGCCTCAAGAACTCATGTCAATTATACTGGCCAGTGCAAGAATTTTAAATCTGGCAAGTTGGAAAACTCTTCTCGCCTCTCAAGTGAGAGGGTCCTTCGGCTTCTCGAGAAATCTAGAAGCATTCGCGATCGCCGTCAGGTCTCTGTGATCATCATGGTAAGAGAAACTTTTAAGCCAAAGTCGGTATGCTACAACCTTGTTGCTCACATGGCTATAGTCCAAACATGGTGGGATTGGGTCAATCCAAGACTGGAGGCCACGCTCTAGATCCCACCATTCCGTATCTTCCTGACCGGGTATGGTCTTCACCGCCACATGTATGTTATTAAAGATTTCAGACAAGTGGGACAAGATAGGTTCGGCACCCTGGACCGATGATTCCTCAACAGCGTCCAAAACTAGCACTATAGAGACATGAGAGAAAGTTTCCCCAACTCTGGAACAGAACTTGTAGATGTGCTTGGCTGTTTCTTGGATCTCAGATGGCAAGTTGTCATCTGGCAGACTGACATCATTGACAGTGTAGTCGGATACAGTCACCTGCGGGAATGTGGAGAACGTTGTTTGCTGATAATTAGATGATAATACAGAAGGGAAAAAGAGCATGCATCAATTCTACAAGTCTCTATACTTATCACATTCCACTCACACGCAGTAAACCAGAGACGATCGAATAAAGTTCAGAGGATAAGTTGAACGGAGAAATATTCGACGGAAGGGGTAATAATCTAACGGCGGTTCGGCCGTCCTGGCCCGATTCTATCGGCTAACAAATATAGTATGGAGTGAAGGATCATCAGTGTTGTGCACAGATGCATCAACATGTCTCTCAAAATCTTCTTCCGTCCCATCATCACTATTGCCATGTACTACTGTATCAAGTCAATCCTGCTGGTGGTTTGTATCAGTGTAACCAATAAGTGGATTATGCCTGGGGTACTCCCCTATCATTCAGTGTTGGGTGAGGGACGGTTGTTTTGTTGCTGAACCCAAAGCAATCTCAGTCTTCTGATCGGTCGATCGTATCGTATGGAACCGAATTCCCAATGAATCATCACCACACATGATCCCTGCCGCGTCCGAAAGGGCGAGGACGATCTTCGCATGACGGTGCCTCTGAGCCAGAGTTCGATTATTCTGCGACTGTCCAAAAGAATACGGAGATGCTGGGTGCCGAATAGCGTTGATTAGTCGAATTACCTCCTTTATTTGTGGGAAAGGAGATTGGTTGATCTCTGTCGGAGAACCAGTTTCTGAGGGAGAGATATGGCGAGTCATATCCCCTCGCACACACCAGGCCTGGTCCCAGTGTCACAAATATACGACTGATGACAATGAAGCCACAATGGCGTGTCTCAAACAGTCTTGAAGGCAACAGTAAGTTAGAGTAGAGAGCTAGAATCAAAGATGACAATTGCTCAGAGAGGCAGAGAAAGAAACTGAGAGCTGGGACCACTATTTATAGACAAAATACCCCAAACTGATCCTAAAACTCCTTCCTCTCCTCTCCTACTTCTTGGGAAGAAATCCCGAGGAAAATGGGTATCAAAAACAACATTTCGGATGAGCTTACAGAAGGCTCTGAATCATCCTGGAAGCCCCCAAAAGAGATTTCTTCATCAAAGGTTGAATTCATGAAAAGGAACACGAATAAAGGATCCACAAAATGTGATCCTTTAATACCTGAAACTTCCCCATGCAGTCTTGATGTGCTCCAATCTCTCAGGGGGTTCCAAGGGTGTTTCTTAGGCGCCCACATTATGGAGATTTTGACCCAAAACTACCTGGTTCAGTCCCGCGGGTTCGGTACAGGTTTGAGGGGTTCGGATATAGGCTAAATATGCTTAGTAGAGTGGGTTTCCTTCTGGTTCTCTCAGTTGAGTCGTCTGCACTGCTGAAAGAGATGAAACCTCTGACCATTAGTGGGTACTCCTCATCACTAGTGTGTACTCTTCATCAGTGGTGTACACTTCTCAATCAGTAGCGGGTGTGCATTGATCAGTAGCGCGGTTTCCATATTCAAACATGTGTTTTCACAAGGCTGTCCTGACAACCAGTTGATCCTGTGATTGTCCCGGTGATGGATCATGTGATTGATCTGGTGATTGATCTGGTGAACCAGTTATTTGGTAACCAGGGAGTCATACTGACGTCCACTTAGGGCACAACCTGCCACAACACGTGGCCAGGAACACATAGGCCTCGGGGTTTCATTAACCCCGCATCCTCTGATTGCTCACTCTTCTCTTACATTGTCAATGTCATTGTTAGGGACACGGCCGGAGACGTGCACCTCCGGAGCTGCACGGACCTGATCGTTCCCAGCCGGAGATGGACCACTCCGGAGCTGAACACTCCTTTTAGCCATTCCCATTCAGAGAGACATCAATAACAGATCATCCACGCTGTACAAGACAGTGTTGGTAACTCCAAAGGGCAGATACTCAACTAAGACAAGTGTACGAGGTAACCATCAAAGTGCTGTTTATCATCACATGCTGTATCTGGCAAGAAGGTCAGCCAATATCCTGAACCAGGGGGGATTCCAATGGTGATGTATCATAGGTAATTGTTGCAGTGTTTGTAGATTTGAAGTTGTGGGGCCAGACCACCATGACTCCAAGAGTCCAGAAGATGGTACAACAGGATATATGTACTGTGATTTATGTATGTGGAGAGCTTGGGGCTCATAAGAGCAAAAATGCTCTGGCCGTGTCCGGACCCCTCTGGAGCTACATGGTTCTCTGGCCGGGTCCAAGAGGGGGGTTTTGAACCATGCAGCTCCGGAGGTGCACGTCTCCGGCCGTGTCCTCAACATCATTATTAGCTATACCATGTCATTTCCGCTCATTGTCCATCTTCAGACTATCAATGTCCAGGAGGATAATATGAGCCATAGGGATGCCAAGAAGACCCCTGGGAAGGATAGGGAGGCCAATATTGAGAGGGTAGAGGAGGGAGAGTAGGTGGAAGAGGGGGGGTGGTAAGTACCTCTCCTCAGGAGTATGAATGTGTCATAACCCTCGAATATCTGTAAATACCACGTGCATATCATCCACTCAAGTCCAGTCAACTTTACTCAAATCGTCTCAACTCGTTCTATCGTACGACATGTGGATCACCATTCAACCTTAATCACCCTCCCATCACTGAGTCAACCTGACTCGACATTGTATACATCAATCACGTCATCTATCGTCATCTATCGTCATCTGTCGTCATCTGTCGTCATCTGTCGTCATCCCAAGCTCTGGCCAACATGTACCAGGTTCCGTGTCCTCGGTTCCGCTCAGACCGGACGAACTGATAAGCGAGGGTACCTCGGGAGCAATATTAGCCGGTTGGCCGGTCGGCATCTATTTCTGTCTATGAACCCGTCCCAATCAACAAACAACAGAATCATCAATAATCGGTAATTAGCCATCAATTCCTTAATTACTAATTAGTGCCTTAATTAGCGATCAATTACGGGTACCTTAATTAGCGATCAATTACGGGTACCTTAATTAGCGATCAATTGCGGGTACCTTAATTAGCGATCACGCCACTGACGTCATAGGAGAGTACGTACGTCCGTCAAGGGTAGTACGACTCCCTTGGTTACCAAATAACTGGTTCGCTGGATCAATCACAGGATCAATCACAGGATCAATCACAGGATCAATCACAGGATCAATCACCGGGTCAACCACGGAATCAACCAGTCAACCGGTCGTCAGGATAGCCTTGTGAAAACACGTGTTTGAACATGGAAAACACGCTACTGATCAATACACACCCGCTACTGATGAAGAAGTGTACGCCACTGATGAAGAGTACACACTAGTGATGAGGAGTATGCACTGATGGTCAGAGGCTTCATCTCTTTCAGCAGTGCGAACGACTCAACTGAGAGAACCAGAAGGAAAACCACTCTACTGAGCATATTTGGCCTCTATTCAAACCTCTCGAACTTCTACCGAACCCGCAGGACTGAACCAGGTATTTTTGAGTCGAAATCTGCATAATGTGGGCGCCTAAGAAACACCCTTGGAACCCCCTGAGAGATTGGAGCACATCAAGACTGCATGGGGAAGTTTCAGGTATTAAAGGATCACATTTTGTGGATCCTTTATTCGTGTTTCTTTTCATGAATTCAACCTTTGATGAAGAGATCTCTTTTGGGGGCTTCCAGGATGATTCAGAGCCTTCTGTAAGGTCGTTTAAAATGCTGTTTTTGATACAGGGTTTCCTCAGGTTTTCCCCCCTGGAAGTAGGAGAGGAGAGGAAGGAGTTTTAGGCTCAGTTTGGAGGATTTTGTCTATAAATAGTGGTTCTAGCTCTCTGTTTGTTTCTCTGTCTCTCTGATCAATTGTCATCTTTGCCACCCACTTTCTACTCTAACTTAATTTGTTGCCTTTAAGACTGTTTGAGACACGCCATTGCGGCTTCATCATCATCAGTCGTATATTCGTGACAGTATCATTCTTGTATGTCGGTGCTTAGCTCCCATACCTGCAAGGCATAAGTCCCCAGTAATTCTCTAGTCTCTGGTTCATCTGTTCTAATGCCCGCCAAGGCATAATCTCTCAGTCTCTTGTTCTCGCAGCACTTCTATGTTCTGCATGGTTCGTCATAGTTCCTCATCGACCACCTTCAACAAAGTCGAGCGACTTCCGGCGCATTCCATAGGATGTCATAGTAGGACGTAGGTCAACACAGATATGGCATCGTAGGATATCAGTGGTTATCAGTGGGATGCAAGGCAATGCATGCAGGACAGTGCAGGACGGTTCAGAGCGCTCGTATTCCGCAGGTCTGCACAAGCCTCTGAAAAAGGCTGATTTGTCTATATAAACCCTATCTTGTACTTTGTAGTCTTC